GGTTTACAAAAAAACGTTCTTAAAAGAATTCACAAAACAATTTTCAATCATACAAGTTTTGTAGCTCCTCCAACTGTTGCAAAATTTACAGGTGTTCCCATTAAACAAACAAATCCGTCTGGCCTCATATTTGAATATCAAGTCTATTTTGGCAGTGCGTTTGCTGAATTTATAACAGCTTCATTGTGAAAGATACCCTGCAGTTTCATTCAGACATTCAAGTAAAGTTCATTCACTCAACTCTAGCACCAGTTTCAAATGCGTCATGCCTTTATGATGTTCTCATTGAGTGCTATATCTTCCGGCAACTCACGGTCATACGTTTCAAGTAAAGGAATAGAGTTGCAAGAGTCTGACAGAAAAAATACATGACTTTTAAAAATGTCATTCTTTTCGTAAGTTGACATATAAAATAAATACTTGATATACCGTATTCGACATAATAAGCGCCCCGCTCTAATAAGCACCCACAGCGATATTTGCTCATATATTGACTAGTGAACAATCCCAATTAGCACCCCTTTCGATTGATCAATGTACACAAGACTTATTTATTCGTGTATCATACGCACTCGTGTGTTATATGCACCCTTAATTATGGGCAATTAAATTCTGGAAAAATATATCTGGGCGGGGCTTGTGTTGCACTGCCGCAGTGAACAATGTCACAGATTTTGTTCTGTTGTCAACGGTTACTGTCAATCTTGAAATTAGCACGAGCATGAATAAAATGCGAAAAATGACTATAACACGGCCTCACTGCACACTTTGGATAGCGGAAATACCAACTTGAATATATACACAAACACGGTTTATTGAGCGTTGTAACAAGTCCTTAACAAGGTTTTTCAAAGAATAGGAATTACACAATGGGCATCAGGTGAGTTATCACTGCTGGGGTCAAGGGTTCTACCCACTCGTGTCAAACTAGACATCATTGACCACTCCAATCAGTGAACTGTTTTTGGTTCAATTATTTTATTGCCTTTAAACTTCCTTAATGCACGTCACCAGAATAAAAATATAAACTGTGTGTTGTTTTTAGGAAAACACTGTTTCTTGTCAGTACGGAAGTTCTTTAATCAGCGCTAATAAGCTGTGCTATTTCAATGCCATAATGCCATTTTGTGAAGGTATCACATAGGGTTATTACAAATTTTTGTAAATATTCCTTTCTAAAAATCATTACAGAGGCAAAATATAAATCGATAGATATGACATATAATGCAATCTTGTGATGGTATCAGGTAGGGTTATTACAAATCTTTGTAAACGATCCTTTCTGAAAATCAATATAGAATCAAAATATGAATCAATAATATCACAAGTATCTTGTCACCCCCCTACGGATATTCACCATCCGGTCATGCTGGTATTGCTATATTTTCAGTCACATCAACAACCTCCATCAGTTGATAGTTCAGGATTTTTGGCATTACAAAAAAGGCAATAATACCGTATTCGACGTTATAAGCGCCCCGCTCTAATAAACGCCCACGGTGATATTTGCTTATATATTGGCTAGTGAACAATCCCAATTAGCACCCCTTCCGATTGATCAATGTACACAAGACTTATTTATTTGCGTATCATACGCACTTATCTGTTACATGCACCCTTATTTATGGGCATTTAAATTCTGGAAAAATATATCTGCCGTATAAAAACATTTCAGGCTGTCAACATAAACCACAAAATTTATCTTTCAACTGTTTTTTTCACCAAAGTAATATTCTAATAAGAGCCCCATATTTCTAATTTTGAGTGCGCCCTGGGCGCTTATTACGTCAAATACGGTATCTATTATTTTCTACAATGTAAAACATACTTTGTCCTTATATGTTCACAGGGACTCAGCTAAAAATGGGACTTTCACACATTGTACAACTAAAGGGAGCTAACTCTAGCATGCTTCAGCTTTGGAATTTCCTGATCCACGATACATCATAAAAAAGTTTACCTAGTCCTTTCAAAGAATAGACGATCACATGTCAGCATAACACAATTAATAACACAATTAATAACACTATCTGTCTGATCTTGGTTATACATATACATATCTATACACCATCTATATGCAAAGTAAAAAGCAATGTACCTAATCTAACATCTGGTTGCATTTTATTAAATATAAATAAGACAATAACATGTATAGAATATATGTAATATCTTGGTTATAATTTGCATGGCAGGAGTGTTGAGGCTAGTGTTGCAATTGCTAAATAACCCTGTTTACAAACCCAAACATTTAACAAAGATAATTTTAAAAAATTGAACTGTTAATATCAAGGTTAAAAAACATAATAGTATGGTTCTCAAGCACTGCCCGTATCCTCATAAAGTCTGCAGCACGTTACATTTTAATTTCCATTTTCCCCAAAAATAAAAATATACCAATACTTAAAAACAAAGTAATCCAATATTGCATGCAGCTACTTCTCTTTACATGCCCACTGCTTTACTGCACATCTTGTGTTATGTTTGTTTGTTGTTTAACGCTGCACTCAGCAATATTCCAGCTATATGACGGCGGTCTGTAAATCATCGAGTCTGGACCAGACAATCCAGTGATTGACATCATGATCATTGATCCACGCAACTGGGATACGATGACGGGCATCAACCAAGTCAGCGAGTCTGACCACCCGTTAGTCACCTTTTTCGACAAGCTCGTGTTTATGTAGGGAGGCCCTTTCCCAGGTTGATGGTACACAACTGTCTATTTGGTTACATACTAACTGAACAAGCGGGAAAAAAAAATCACCACCTCCCGAACTATATTTTCAAAAATCATTGCCTGAGAACCAATTCTTTTATTTTTTTAAGAGTAATATACATTGTTATACATGATGAATAGTTAAATATAATGATTGAATAGTGAACTAGACAACTATTTAACCTGCTGGTACTGTTTATCACAGTTACAAAAAGCATACATTCTGCGTGTTGCAATATTTACAGTGAAAGACACTGCATACGTCATTACTTCAGCAATATCACAGCGGGGGACACACGAGAAAAAGCTTCACACATTGTACTAGAATGGGACGATACACCAACTGTGCGATCCAATACGTATCACGATACCTTGCTCACGATCCGATACGTATCGCAATACATGCATGTGCACTTATCTGTGGTGTGTAAGCCATCTTTTTCATGGACAGGATGGCCAAACCTGGCACACTAATGATTAACAGTTGGCAGTGTCAGGTAGGGCGCAATGGATGAAAATCTTCACGTTTTCACTACTCATTTTCACTAGTAATTAGTGTTGTGTACACTTATTCAAGAAAACATTTAAGGTAAGAATCGATAGTTTTTACTTAGTGTGCGACTGTGATTGATACTTGTATTGAGAAGAAAAAAATCGCGTTCCACCGATACATTTTTACTTAGTGTGCAACTGTGAACAATACTGGTATCGAGAAGTAAAAAATCGCGATCCACCGATGCATCGGTGTATCGTTCCACCACTAATTGTACCCATGTAGGGAATCAACGCCATACCTTAAATGTTACAAGTGAATACTCAAACTAGACTATCCTACTGCACCTAACATATACAGGCCCACCGACCAAACGCGTAATGAAAATAAAATATGAATAAAATGATAAAGAACTTCAATAACAGAAGGGAAGTCTCTTACTTGTCACTAAATACTAGGGATGGGTATTGGAGGTTTAAAATGTATCACAATATTTTGCGATGCACAAGGCCGTATTACAATACGTACCCTGATATACAGTAAAGTGCGGTTATAACGAACTCAAAGGGACTACTGACTTTAGCTTATTATAACCGTAGTTCATTTTAAGTAAATATACAGCATAACTACAGCAAATAGTCGGGACCAAAAAAGTAAGTTCGTTATATCCGTAAGTTCGTTATAAGCATGTTTGTTATAATCGTAGTTTACTGTATTGTATAATTATAAATTTTGAATTCAGCAGCAGTCTGTACATTAAGATATGAATTGAAGTTCAAAAATGGAACAAAACATGATGCTGGTGCCACATGACGTTTACTCAGACAATAAATACGCAGTCATCTTGTATCAACCATCAGTATTCAATAACCTATATTCTACACATAAATCAGGTCACTATCTTACAAAAGTATGCATACTATATAACAATATCTAAATCTCTCTAAACATGAATAGTCTACAAATAAACCAGTGCTGTACAAATTGTGAATGTTCATATGACTTGTGATAGCTTACAAAGATATCTTCTTAAGAATATCTCGTAAACACTATGGATTTCATTGGATCATGAATATTCATTGCGCTGCAGACAAGCATTCAACATCACAAACAGACACACGTCCATATCTGTCAATGAAACATACCACGTGTCAATTATTCAACAAACAACCAATCACCATCAAGCTGACAATATTTTGAGGAAACGAGGTCACTGTGGCGGATACAAACGCACTCATTAACATATTACAAGTATTCACTATATACTGTCACACAGTATTCACATCGGACAACATCGCTCTAATACTTGTCACAAGATGCATCCATAAAGTGCCTGTGAAAGTGCCTCGAAAAAACAAATGTTCAACAAGGTTTAAGATCTATCTATTATAAAAACAAACAACTGTCAAGAAACGTCTAGCAGCCTATGCTTGAGTTGTACATACTTCAAGTAATGAGAATATACACATTATTTCATTTTTATAGCTAAAATGGATAGAATTATCATTAAACCACCCTCATGTTATCAGAAATCAGCAGGCCACTGTAACTTGAAAATGCCCTCATATTGCTTGAGTGAGTGAGTGAGTGAGTGAGTGAGTTGGGTTTAATGCCACTTTTAACAATATTCCAGTTATATCACTGCGTTTCCGCTTAATGTTGGAGGAAAGCCCCAAGTGATGCAGGTCTCAGACATTTACCACTTCGGTGAAACCCACGAGCACGGGTATGGTGCTGACAAACCTAGAAACATAATCGGGGCGAACCAGGATTCGAACCCACAATCATAGGTTTCTGGCGTGCCCAAGGGACGCAACTCTGCAGTGCGAATCGCAGCGCCTTAGACGACTGGGTCACCAGTGCCCCCTCATATTGCTTGACGACAGGCCATTATCACGCCCGTTGTTAAGTGACATCATAGGATAGGGATAGATGATGTCACAATAGTGATGTCAACTGGCTTGTTCTATGACGTTTCCATATTTGTAAAAGTGGGTCAGTGAAATTCATGTTGATTGCACTAAATGTTTCAAAACCGATATTGTTGTTTATTTTTATTTGATAACAAATTCTATACATTTTAGCTATTATAACGGTAATGCTATTTCAGGGCATTATCATTTGCAGAAGCCCTCGGTCTTCTCAACTGCCCTCCTTTGTCGGGCCGTTAATGGAAGACCTTGGGCTTCTGCAAATGATAATGCCCTGAAAAATCACGTTACCCTTATAGTAGAACATGACATAAAAACTATGGCGGTAGCTAGATGAACCTACCAAGAGGCTCATAGAATTACGGTCTCCAAAGCTTTCATTATTATTTCCCATCATCCACTTTTGTCATTCCAACACAAGCTTATTTGCAATCCCATCAAAATTAGATCTTAGTTCTCGCTACCGCTGAACAAAGATCGGAGGACATCACAATAAGGGTCACATCAGACCAACATTTCGCAAACTCTGACCAACCAATGGAATGACTGACAAGAAGTCGGCATTAGCAAATCAGAAGGCAGCCTTCTCCAACTTTACAGCACTAGTTTCAAACTGGCAGCTACGCTTTGAAACATTTTTTGACAAATTCTTGATAAAAACTTTGAAAACTGAACAAAAGAACATTCTGGAATAGCTAGTATTGATTCAATCGTAAATCCTGTTACTGTTGTTCGGAAAACCCCATGTTAAATTTTCGAAGTTGTATGATTAGAAAACACATTCCTACTGTCACTTTCCTGATCTGTTTAGCAACGCTCTGATTGGTCGGATGATTGGTCAGATAAAAGGTCGTTCTGATGTGAGCCTTAATGAGATGTCCTCAGACCTTTGTTTAGCGGTAACAAGAACTAACGTCTGATTCTAATGAGATTGGATTATTTGTGACTTGTGAACCTCTCGTTGACATCTAATTGTGTTGTCTTGTATGGGCATACCAAAGAAATTATTGTACCACATGGCTTGTATCTTAACATGCCTATTTCCTGCTGTCAATGACCAACTGGGACTGCTGGTGATACTTGGTTGGGTTTAACGCATTGGGATTGTTTAAGATGAAGAGTATACCAGTACCTATAAACAGAAGTTATTCTTTGACTAAATTAATTATGGTCCCAGATACACTGATTGGATTTGTTGTGTGTTTGCATACAGCATTGATCAGTAGGTAGACAAGACTTACTGTAGGTTAAAGAGAGGCGAGTATGACAAACGACAAACTCACTGTTGGCCAGCATGCTAGTTCCACAACACACCATACCGCTATAAGAATACTAACGTTATCAAAAATCCTCGCTGGTAGCACACGTTCACTCACACATTTAACAAAACTTTGTCACATGATAAAACTCTTGTCTAGCACTTCACTACAAACTGATTCTGCCCAATAAAATAATTAAGTATGTCCATTTCAAGGTTAGAGTATGCCATGATTTAAATCATTCACCTTGTTTTAAATCATTCACCTTGATTTAAATCATTCACCTTGTTAAAACATCCGTCACAACAATGCCATTTGATGACAAACAAGCTTTCACCAATCAACTCACGAACGACCCAATAGAATTGGTCCAGTTTCCAAACACCACCATCGTCATAATATTCCTCATAAACAACATCCTCCAATGAGCAATCGCTGAAACATTAGAACCTGTGGACAGTAGGTCAGTCCTGATGGTCAGTGTGTTTCTTCAAGGTTCTCCGGCCACAACTGGTCACTCAATGTCCATCAACAAGTCGTCCCCTTCCAGCTTCATGCCGTCAGTGACTGCGATACTCTTGACCTCACCGTCCACTGGCGCACTGACCACCATCTCCATCTTCATTGCACTCAACACCAACACGGGCTGACCTTTCACAACCTTGTCACCAACCTTGACCTTGATGTCTATCACTGACCCTGGCATTGGGGCCCCCACGCTGCCCTTGACGCCCTTGAGGGACTTTGGATGGAAGTGCATCTCCTGCAGAACATACAAAGCATAGCTTACACACATGCTGTGCAGCAGAGTTGAAATGGGGTTTAACATCATGTTCCAAGATTATTGCACTTTTATAGCGACGTGTGTGCGACTGACGTCCTAATGAATACATGCATCATCAAAGAATTGATGTCCATGTGAATACATGTACCATCAAAGCATTGACGTCGTTATGAATACATGTACCATCAAAGCATTGACGTCCTTATGAATACATGTACCACCAAAGTATTGATGTCCTTATGAATACATGTACCATCAAAGCATTGACGTCGTTATGAATACATGTACCATCAAAGCATTGACGTCCTTATGAATACATGTACCACCAAAGTATTGATGTCCTTATGAATACATGTACCATCAAAGCATTGACGTCCTTATGAATACATGTACCACCAAAGTATTGACGTCCTTATGAATACATGTACCATCAAAGAATTGATGTCCTTATGAATACATGTACCATCAAAGCATTGATGTCCTTATGAATACATGTACCATCAAAGCATTGATGTCCTTATGAATACATGTACCATCAAAGCATTGACGTCCTTATGAATACATGTACCATCAAAGCATTGACGTCCTTATGAATACATGTACCATCAAAGCATTGACGTCATTATGAATACATGTACCATCAAAGCATTGACGTCCTTATGAATACATGTACCATCAAAGTATTGACGTCCTTATGAATACATGTACCATCAAAGAATTGACGTCCATTATGAATACATGTACCATCAAAACAATGACATCCTTATGAATACATGTACCATCAAAGCATTGACGTCCTCATGAATACATGTACATCAAAGCATTGACGTCCTAATGAAACGTACATCAAAGCATTGACGTCCTCATGAATACATGTACCATCAAAGCATTGACATCCTCATGAATACATGCACCATCAAAGCATTGATGTCCTAATCAATACATGTACCATCAAAGTATTGATGTCCTAATCAATACATGTACCATCAAAGCACTGAGGTCCTAATGAATAAATTAGGCAAAACACTTTGGCGGCCACACAAGACTGGATTCGGACTGCCCATTGAGCTAAATGAGTCCTCAGCAAGTCAATTTGTCTTGCTGTCTGCTCCTAGTTCACCTGGATGGGCTGATTCACAATGTCTGATGGAGATCTGTCTACTGACCTTCATTGCTTCTTCATCCTTGATGAGGACAGACCGCAGCTGACCGTTCAGCTCGAAGAACACCTCCCTCTCCCCGTTCTTGTTCAAGTCCCCCACTGCAAGCGTCTTGATGGACAGAGTCTTGCCACGCTCTATCTCGACCTGCAAGCAACGACACTCCATGACAATCTGTCGTGTCCAGTAATGGCTTCCTGGGTCAGTACTACCAAACAAACTTAAACACCACCACCTGCCAACGGACTCCACCGATCCATGCTGTCTATGCAGTCAATACCTGTAGATCTGAGGAACTTTCTTCCAGATAATGTGAAATTATCTTTTTCAATCCCTGCTCTTAAAGCCCACCACAAAACCCACCTTTATCAAACACTATCAATGCTAAGTGCACTGAACACAACCATTTGTGCCCTTTATGCGCTTTATAAATCCAAGCATTATTATTATCATCATCATCATCATCATCATCATCATCTAAAGGTTGCTATTATTATAATCTAGGTTGCTTGTGGCCAGTTTGTTATCATCATCATCATCATCATCATCATCATCTAAAGGTTGCTTGTGGCCAGTTGGTTGTGTGTTTGCTTGCCGCTGAAGGGTTCCAGTCATAAACATGGCATGATGAGTACCAAGTGGTTTGTATGTTTGTTTGTTTGTTTGTTTGTTTGTTGCTTAACACAGTTGTTAGTTGTAATGTCACATGCACATGGCAACCCCGTTTCACCTCAGCTGACTTTAGTTGTGATTAGGTGGACCAACTATTAACTGAAATATTACTGACTGTTAATAAATATGGCTGTTGAAAGTTGGACATTCTATTTTGCCTTGCAGTTAAGCAGCATTGCTGACCAATAACTTTCCTGGAGTTTGTGAAGGTGAGCAGCGTCGTGGTCTGGGTACATCAGTGTTTGTTTGTTTGTTTGTTTGTTTGTTGTTTAACGCTGCACTCAGCAATATTCCAGCTATATGATGGCTGTCTGTATATAATCGAGTCTGGACAGACAATCCAGTGATTGACATCATGAGCAGTGATCCACGCAATTGGGATACGATGACATGTATCAACCAAGTCAGCGAGCCTGACCACCCAATCTCGTTCGTCGCCTCTTACGACAAGCATAGTCGCCTTTTATGGCAAGCATGGGTTGCTGAAGACCTATTCTATCCTTGGATCTTCACAGTCTAATGATTTCTGACTTACATTTATCTTAATTGATGATCTTCACAGGTCGAGTAATCAATGGATAAATCACAATAGCTGCTTGACGGCTATCAATGACTGCTAACATTTATCAATTAAAAAAATTACAGAACCTTTTATAGTAATTATTTGGACATTCAAAGTAGATTTAATAATCAATGTGATCTATAACCCTAACACAAAGCTCATCTGACACATGTATCAAGCACATCTCACCTCACACACATATCACTTTAAAGACGTCTACAACACATCTCACCTCAAACACAGCTGACTTCATGCAAGTCTCACCTCACACACGTCTCACCTCACATACGTCTCACCTCACCCAACCTCATACATCTCACCTCACCTCACACACATCTCTACCCACCTCACACACATCTCACCTCACCTCACACACATCTCACTTCACACACATCTCACATCACCTCACACATGTCTCACCTCACCTCACACATGTCTCACCTCATCTCACACATGTCTCACCTCACCTCACCTCACACACATCTCACCTCACCTCACGTCTCACCTCAAACACATCTCACCTCACCTCACACGTCTCACCTCACCTCACACGTCTCACCTCACCTCACACATGTCTCACCTCACCTCACCTCACACGTCTCACCTCACCTCACACATGTCTCACCTCACACACATCTCACCTCACCTCACACATGTCTCACCTCACCTCACACATGTCTCACCTCACCTCACACATGTCTCACCTCACCTCACACACATCTCACCTCACCTCACACACATCTCACCTCACCTCATGGCTCAACTCACCTCACACGTCTCACCTCACCTCACACATGTCTCACCTCACCTCACACATCTCACCTCACCTCACACATGTCTCACCTCACACACATCTCACCTCACCTCACGTCTCACCTCAAACACATCTCACCTCACCTCACACATGTCTCACCTCACCTCACACACATCTCACCTCACCTCAAACACATCTCACCTCACCTCACACGTCTCACCTCACCTCACACATGTCTCACCTCACACACATCTCACCTCACCTCACACACATCTCACCTCACCTCACCTCACACACATCTCATCTCATCTTACCTCACACACATCTCACCTCCCCTCACACATGTCTCACCTCACCTCACACATGTCTCACCTCACATTCCTCTGGGATCTTTGGTCCCATTAGGAAGAGTCTTGTATCCAGAGTGTCAACCGGACCATATTTACTCCGAAACTCCATGAAGTCGTCGAGGACCTTCGGGTAGAGCGCCGAGCTCATGACGTCCACCTCCCGCACCACGGGGCCGTGCTTTTCCACGAGCTCCTCCTTCAGCTTGTCAAAGTCCAGAGGAGGAAGAGACATCCCTGGACGACCGTCGAACGTCTTGGCACCTTTCAAAATCTGCAGTGAACATAACACTTGATATTTTCACTGCAGTGAACATAACACTTGATATTTTTCTGCAGTGAACATAACATTTGATATTGCACTGGAGTGAACATAAAATTTGATGGAACTAACAAGAGCTATCTCCCTGCAAATTGTCTCCCTTTATCGTAAGTGTCTCTCCCGGAAAACAAACTGTTGACTTGTATTAACGTTCAACTCTGACAAGGCAAAATAATGTCAGATGGTCCTTTATGGTGTTAATATCTCTTCTTGCGTTAGCTATTCTCTTGAAAATGTTTCGTTATAAACTGTAATTTGCTCTTTTAACTCATCAATCGAGACTGTTCATTTCGCAAAGCACCATTTATGTTACTTGATCAGCGGGTATTCCTTTGCTTCCACCATCGGTCTCGTAGCTTTCACGAATATTTTTTTTTAAGTTTTTATTTGTATATAATCATATCCAAATGTATGATAAAAGAATTTTACAATTTTTTTATTACTTTTATTTATATTTTTTAAGATTTTGCAAACTGGGATTTACTTTTTAAATCAGTGGGGAAATGTCCCTGCGTGTTAGGTAGGGAGAATTTAAGTTTGAAGGGTTTACCTTTGTAATGAAAAAAAATTAAATTATTACACAAAAAGTATATAATACATAGGATATTCCATGTGTCTCATAAAGTGTCATGTTTTCTCATCTCCTGACCGGGGAAAGGAGATATGTTCTCCTTTCTAGTCAAGGACCAACCTGAAGGTCCCGTGACCAAATCATGGAAACAAAGGTTTGAAAGTTCTTTTGAGTTTCCTGATGTATACTCAACAATTTTGACTTGGGCTGCCCGGTTGAAAATCCCGGGCATTTTGAGGAAGGGTCAACAAAGGTCAAACAGGGGTCAAAATTCAAAATTGTGTCGATATGCATATCAAATTACTCGTCCAGTCATAAGGAACCTAGAAATATATAGTTTGTTATACTTCCGACCTTAAATGGGGAGCTATGGCCAAAAACGTTGAAAGCTCAAGCACTTTTGGCAGTCGGTGAAATTCACAAACACAGTTAACATTGTCCGATAGTCATGATTTTAGTGTCTAATAATATGTTTTCTGACATGACAAATTCAACCAAGCAACTTTTAAAAGTAAAAAGGGTTACCTTGACCTTGAATATCGAAAATGGTTGCCAAAAGGGCTGCACGAAGAATTGTCATGCTTCAGCAAAGTCATTGGAAACAGGATCCTTGGCCAATAACCCTGCATATTTCAGAATCCATTGTCCAGAAATGCTTACTTGCCAATACGGTATTCACAGCCAGCACTGCCTGAACATCTGAGTGATGCCAGAGCAAACTGCTCTGTAGAATCGGACACAGATTCAGATACTAGTGATTGTGACAGTGATTCCGACTCTGCATCTGATCGGTATGACACAAAGTAGGATGATGAACTGTGCACTAAAGTAAGGTTAGAAAAGCATTTCTGGACAATGGATTCTGAAATATGCTGGGTTATTGGCCAAGGATCCTGTGACTTTGCTGAAGCATTACAATTCTTCGTCCAGCTAACCATTTTCGATATTCAAGGTCAAGGTAACCCTTTTTACTTCTAAAAGTTGTTTGGTTGAATTTGTCATGTCAGAAAACATATTATTAGACACTAAAATCATGACTATCGGACAATGTTAACTGTGTTTGTGAATTTCACCGACTGCCAAAAGTGCTTGAGCTTTCAACGTTTTTGGCCATAGCTCCCCTGTTTGACCTTTGTTGACCCTTCCTCAAAATGCCCGGGATTTTCAACCGGGCAGCTCAAGTCAAAATTGTTGAGTATACATCAGGAAACTCAAAAACACTTTCAAACCTCTGTTTCCATGATTTGGTCACGGGACCTACAGGTTGGTCTTCTAGTATTCCTCCCATCATTCGATGAGAGAAACATGATAGTCCACTCATCACATGAAATATCCTCTATGTCTGTTTCTAACAGAACACATCGTCACCTTGGTCCGGAGGGGTTCTGGGTAGCCTCCTGGTGGCTTTCCGAGGTAACCCTGGAAATACTCCACAACGGAGCTAGGGAAAGACAACTCTTCCGCCCTGTCCTCCACCATCTCCGCGGTCAGCTTGTTCTGGACCATAAACTGGGCCATGTCTCCGACCACCTTGGACGATGGGGTCACCTGGAACAAAATGGCTTCCAGTAACATTAGAGCTCTCTACATTTCCTGCGTGGGTAACAGTCTACACCACAGACATTGTTCACAAAAACAAACTGTATTCAATAGTGTTAGATGAAGCAAGTCATGGATTACACATTTTCCTAAAAGTAAAAATTAAGCTGCACATGAAAGCTCTGCTATAGCATATTGAAACACCTTAATTAATATCTGCAGTTCTTTATTAAATAACTTGTTGAGATCAGTGTTGTTATCTGACATACCTCAAGGTGGGGGAACATGTCCAGCAAGTGAGTGTATTAGGGCTGGGACGGGTAACTCAGGTACCCGGGTCGGGTGGGTACTGAGTAGGACCTGGATACCCACAGGACTACCCAGACCCATTGTTCGTCACATGATATATTGTTTAATGACAAAAATTATCTGGAGTTCTATGTTTAAACTACAAGTCACTAATTTTTGCAGTTCTTTCTGACTACTATGCCCATTCCTTCTGACTTTTATATGTTTGAATAAAATTAAAACTTCAGTCTACTTCAGTGTATACACCAGTTTTATATGTGTATCTAAACACATTTTGCCAGAGCTACGGTCAAACTTTTCCCAATAGGAGAGTTTGTACCTTGCTCTTGAGACCTATCGTCCAAGCCCTAGAGTGAATGTTATTTTTTGCTTCAGACAGAAATATCACAGCAGCCTGTAGATCCTTGGCCAGACAGATCAGTGGCTGAACAAAAATCTAAATCACCAAATCCTCATCAGTAATGATACCAGGTAACTGATCCTAACCCAGAATCCCCACTGGTGAACATGTCAAAGATTTAGAGTTCATGACCAAATGACATAATTTAAAACTCTATCCATTCTATCCTGTTTCCTAGCCCCACCCTTCCAGTCATGTTGCCACTCCCCTCCAGTCTGTTTCCTCGCCCCACCCTTCCAACTATGTTGCCACTCTGCCCCAGCCTGTTTCCTAGCCCCACCCTTCCAGCATGTTGCCCCTCCACTCCAGTCTGTTTCCTCGCCCCACCCTTCCAACTATGTTGCCACTCTGCCCCAGCCTGTTTCCTCGCCCCACCCTTCCAGCCATGTTGCCCCTCCACTCCAGCCTGTTTCTTCGCACCACCCTTCCAGCCATGTTGCCACTCCACTCCAGCCTGTTTAACCCCCACCCTTCCAGCATGTTGCCCCTCCACTCCAGCCTGTTTCCTCGCCCCACCCTTCCAACTATGTTGCCACTCTGCCCCAGCCTGTTTCCTCGCCCCACCCTTCCAACTATGTTGCCACTCTGCCCCAGCCTGTTTACTAGCCCCACCCTTCCAGCCATGCTGCCACTCCACTCCAGCCTGTTTCCTAGCCCCACCCTTCCAATCATGCTGCCACTCCACTCCAGCCTGTTTCCTAGCCCCATCCTTCCAATCATGCTGCCACTCTGCCCCAGCCTGTTTCCTAGCCCCACCCTTCCAGTCATGCAGCCGCTCCACTCCAGCCATGCAGTCCACCTACCTTAGGGATGTCTCCCAGGAGTTTGTTGGCCACGGAGTACATTTTCTTGACCTCCTCGAACTGGTCAGCCAGCCCCAAACTGAAGGCCTGGAACTGCAGGTTGGTGTACTGACCACCTGAAACATCCAGCAGCATCCTTCAGGGCTGGCACTCAATAAGCCAGAGATAAGTACAGATCTCACATTCATACAAACTTATCTACCAGTGGAATTATTAGATTTGACAAGGCAAAGTGACTAAACTGACTCCTGGCTCTAACAATGCTGACATCAAGAGACGGAACCCAGATTACTAAATCATTGACAGCTATATTCCACCCCCATCACATCAGGCTGTAAATATGTAACGATGAGAGCACTGTATCTGTGGCAGTTAACCGGTAACTGACTATAAAATTCCAGTTTCTATCCAAGCCGAACTAGGCCAGAGTTGCTGGGCTCGTCCATAGTGCCACCACTGGCTATTACGAGTCATGTCCCTTCTATGTCCCTCCTATTGACCAATCAGATTTCACCTCTCGAATCACTTGCATTTGCTTCAAACACCGTGGCGACGCCCAGTCAAGACGATCTTATTGATAATCAAGATCTATGTTGTAATAAAAAGGTTTTTACATCACAAAGTGTATCCAGTCATGTGAGCACCTTGATTAAAAACATGAAAAGATTTGGAAAATATCTGTTGATGTTAAGTTAAACGTACACGATTTGGAAATCCTGCAATTGACTGAAATCTGCACAGTAGTTTATGAACCTGATGTCAATTTCGTTACGAGGTTTTGATTGGACTATAAATAGACTCATTAGTCCAGACAAAACTTAACTCCATAATTCCAGCCTAGTTCGGCAAGGGTGGAAAACTGGACTTGTACAGCCAGTTAACTCCCTTGCCTCGGGAAGAAGTATTTTACTGTATATGTCCGGTGGGAACTAACAATCACTCACCTGGGATCTCGTTGACGTAGATGTCAGCGTTGCCGCTCTTCATGGTGACGCAACACTCGAAGGGGGCATACAGATTCCTGGTTTGTTCCCAGTAGGCTGAGTATGTCGATACATTCTCCAGCGTCACACCTAGCCATGGAAACAAAAAACAGCTACAATCTGTCTTGCCACTTTCCGTACCCCGTGTTCCTGGGTCAGTTTAGAGCATGTTTTGTTTGATGTTTGTTTGATGCCACAAAAAAAAATATAATAGTCTGGTTCTCAAGCACTGCCCACATCCTCATAAAGTCTGCCGCACGTTACATTTTTATTTCCATTTTCCAAAAAAATAAAAATATACCAATACTTAAAAACAATGCAATCCAATATTGCATGCAGCTACTTCTCTTTACATGCCCACTGCTTTGCTGCACATCTCGTGTTATGTTTGTTTGTTTGTTTGTTGTTTAATGCCGCACTCAGCAATATTCCAGCTATATGACGGCAGTTTGTAAATAATAATCGAGTCTGGACAAGACAATCCAGTGATTGACATCATGCACATCGATCTACCCATCTGGGATATGATGACATGCATCAACCAATTCAGCGAGTCAGACCACCCAATCCCGTTAGTCGCCTCTTACGACAAGCATAGTTGCCTTTTACGGCAAGCATGGGTTGCTGAAGACCTATTTTTACCCGGATCTTCATGGGTTTCTAGAGCAGGTACAGAGTATGGATCTATCAGCCTTTAGCATGTTTAGTAATACAATTCCAACCATTTCACAGAGTGGGGACATCAAGATGGGACTTAACTCCAGTGTACCCATGTGGGGAATCAAACCCTGGTTTTCATTGTTACAAACTAATACTTTAACCGCTTGACTACCTCACCGCTCTAACTGTACCTGGTTGGCAAGATAGTAATGTGAATGTCTTTGTTGATGTACCGGGTATGCTTCCCCATAAAACAAAAAAAAAGAAATTATGGGGGAAAAAAAACACCCACAAAATATAAATGTCACTTGAACAATGCATTCAATGTTTCATGTTTTTAAACAAGTGTAAAAAATAGTGTAGGAAAGTCTGTTAACAATTGTCCCAAGGCTTGTGGGAATGCTGTTTGGGGTGGTCGGGTAGCCTAGTGGTTAAAGCGTTCGCTCATCAAGCCGAAGACCTGGGTTCAATTCCTGACATGGGTACAATGTGTGAAGCCCATTTCTGGTGTCCCCCCGCCGTGATATTGCTGGAATATTGCTAAAAGCGGCGTAAAACCATACTCACTCACTCACTCAAATGCTGTTGATGGTACAGCATTCATGCCCTGAATAATCTTAGCAGTAAGTTTTAAGTCAGTAGCATCCAGGGCCTACCCACCTGTATCGAGATCTGTCCTTTCTGTGGCTGCGACAATGGCCCCCATACTGGGCTGTGACGTCATCCCCGACATGGAGTCCACTGCAACGTCTACAGCATCTGCTCCGGCTCGGGCTGCAGCCAACATGGATGCGACTCCTGCACCTGCGGTGTCGTGGGTGTGCACGTGGATGGGAACATCGGGGAATTTATCCCGGAGGGTGCGGATCAGAAGGTCGGCGGCTTGAGGTTTCAGCAGACCGGCCATGTCCTGGAAGAGCAACGTCAAGGTCAAGGTGTCACCAGCAAACATGAAATGTTTCTTCATTTTCCTGTTTATGTCCTGATAAACATGACCAACATTTCCACAACGTGACGCTCATCAACACTATTGTGTGGCTGTCAGTCATAATCGGCTGTGGCACATTGTCAAAAAAGTGGAGTCTTGCTTGGTTCAAGCAAACGCACACAAGACAGGACCATCTATGACAACATATTTGATCACCTGTCTACGGACTTACCACACTCAGAATACAAATCAGAATCTCTAGCTCTACAGGGCTAGAGTTACTGAGATCCTACTCTGCCCTTAATCCAAACAGTGCAAGAGCTACCAAGATCCTATTCTGCCCTGAATCCCAACAGTGCAAGAGCTACCAAGGTCCTACTGGGCCCTGAATCCAAACAGTGCGAGAGCTACCAAGGCCCTACTCTGCCCTTAATCCAAACAGTGCAAGAGCTACCAAGGTCCTACTCTGCCCTGAATCCCAACAGTGCAAGAGCTACCAAGGCCCTACTCTGCCCTGAATCCCTACAGTGCAAGAGCTACAAAGGTCCTACTCTGCCCTGAATCCAAACAGTGCAAGAGCTACCAAGGTCCTACTCTGCCCTGAATCCAAACAGTGCAAGAGCTACCAAGGTCCTACTCTGCCCTGAATCCCAACAGTGCAAGAGCTACCAAGGTCCTACTCTGCCCTGAATCCAAACAGTGCAAGAGCTACAAAGGTCCTACTCTGCCCTGAATCCCAACATGGCAAGAGCTACCAGGTTCTACTCTGCCCTGAATCCCAACATGGCAAGAGATACCAAGGTCCTACTCTGCCCTGAATCCCAACATGGCAAGAGCTACAAAGGTCTACTCTGCCCTGAATCCAAACAGTGCAAGAGCTACAACGGTCCTATTCTGACTTGAATCTCCACAGGGCAAGACCCACCAGGTCCTACTCTGCCCTGAATCCCAACATGGCAAGAGATACCAAGGTCCTACTCTGCCCTGAATCCCAACATGGCAAGAGCTACAAAGGTCTACTCTGCCCTGAATCCAAACAGTGCAAGAGCTTCAACGGTCCTATTCTGACTTGAATCTCCACAGGGCAAGACCCACCAGGTCCTACTCTGCCCTGAATCCCAACAGTGCAAGAGCTACAAAGGTCCTACTCTGCCCTGAATCCCAACAGTGCAAGAGCTACCAAGGTCCTACTCTGCCCTGAATCTCTACAGGGCAAGAGCTACCAGGTCCTATTCTAGCCTGAATCTCTACAGGGCAAGAGCTACCAGGTCCTACTCTGCCCTGAATCTCTACAGGGCAAGAGCTACCAAGGTCCTATTCTGCCCTGAATCCCTACAGGGCAAGAGCTACTAGGTCCTATTCTGCCCTGAATCCCAACAGGGCAAGAGCTACCAGGTCCTAATCTGCCCTGAATCTCTACAGGGCAAGAGCTACCAGGTCCTAATCTGCCCTGGATCCCAACAGTGCAAGAGCTACCAATGTCCTACTCTGCCCCGAACCTCTACAGGGCAAGAGCTACCAGGTCCTACTCTGTCCCGAATCTCTACAGGGCAAGAGCTACCAGGTCCTAATCTGCCCCGAATCTCTACAGGGCAAGAGCTACTAGGTCCTATTCTACCCTGAATCCCTACAGGGCAAGAGCGACCAGGTCCTAATCTGCCCTGAATCTCTACAGGGCAAGAGCTACCAGGTCCTATTCTGCCCCGAATCTCTACAGGGCAAGAGCTACCAGGTCCTATTCTGCCCCGAATCTCTACAGGGCAAGACCTACCAGGTCCTAATCTGCCCTGAATCCCTACAGGGCAAGAGGGACCAGGTCCTAATCTGCCCTGAATCCCTACAGGGCAAGAGCGACCAGGTCCTAATCTGCCCTGATTCTCTACAGGGCAAAAGCTACTAGGTCCTATTCTGCCCTGAATTCCTACAGGGCAAGAGCTACCAAGGTCCTGACCTGATATTACCACAGTAAAAGACTGGCCTACCTTAATTCCCAGAATGTGTGTCCCAGCCTTGACAAGCTCTGACGCCAGGTCGACGTAGTAGTCCATGTTGTACTTGGTCTTGGTGGGGTCGGACACATCGCCAGTATAGGAGATCGCAGCCTCGATCACGCCACCTGGAGGCAGGGGTTGCCGTAAATGTTAGATCCCTCACGTAAGAATATAAGAACAACATGCTTTACCACAGATCTTTTTTATGTATACCACTGCTTGTTCCAGTTAGTGCAGGGAGCCAGGTATGGCTGAATGGGCCTGCTTGCACAAAGCCATTGTAGAACTATGTCCATCACAAGTGTATGTTAAGGTTTGGGACTTACAATAATCCTGGTGGTTAGTGAGTTACAATAATCTTGCTATTACGACCATTGTAACATATCAAAGTATCAGAGTTACAATATATGTTGTAGCAGGATCACGAGGGGTACATGGGAGTGAGTGAGTGAGTGAGTGAGTTGGGTTTAACGCCGCTTCCAGTTACATAAGCAATCGTACTCAATCAGTGTTTGTAAGCGGGGCTCTATCCAAGCCAAGGATTTTGAAGGCTGGCGGTCCACAGGGGTCGGTGTTAGGTCCCTTTTTATTCATTGTGTTTGTTAACGACATTGCTGATGAATTAGATTGCATAACAAGACTCTTTGCTGACGATACAGCACTCGGCTTTTCTTCACCAGACAATCAACTTGTTGAATCAACTCTAAATTTAAATCTGAGCAAGCTGTGTAACTGGGCAAAACGCTGGTTAATTAAATACAACCCAGATAAAACAGAAGCGGTTATATTTTCCTTAAAAGATGAATCAGACCTCATTACCTTGTACTTTGATGAATGTAAAGTTAAGAATGTTCAAAATCATAAACATTTGGGTATAACGTTTGCATCAAACGGAAAATGGTCCTGTCACGTAGATAACATAATTAAGTCAACATCAAAAATGATAAATTCAATGAGAAAATTAAAATCCATATTGAACAGAAATACACTAAATAAAGTATATACAATCTTCATAAGACCCCATTTCGAATATGCGTGTGAAGTGTGGGATGGGTGTAATATAGAATTATCAACTCAGTTAGAAAATCTCCAACTAGAAGCTGCCAGAGTAGTTACTGGGCTCCCAAAGTATACTTCTCACACACATCTGTATTATGAAACAGGATGGGAAACGTTAATAGAACGAAGAAGGAAACGCAAGCTATCTTTGTTCTACAAAATACAAAGTAATATTGCCCCAACTTACCTTAAAGACATTGTACCAACCACTGTAGGTTCAAATATATCATATAATTTAAGAAATTCAGACAATATTGGGATTCCATATACTAGATTAAAACACTCAACGTGTTCTTTTATTCCATCAACTGTAAGGTTATGGAACACTATTCCTGCAGCAGGTAGAAATTGTACATCTACATCCCAATTCAAGACATTCATACAAAAAGAGCAAGTCATTGCGCCTCCATATTTTTCCTATGGTGTTAGAAAGTTGAATATTTATCATACTCGATTAAGATACATGAAAAGCCAGTTAAATTATGATTTATACAGAATAGAGATGTAATGTGATCCAATATGTCAATGTTGTGATCCATGTGAAAACGCATATCATTATTTATTAAAGTGTCCATTGTATGTCCACCAAAGAAAAACTATGTTAATAATAATTCGGGACATTTTACAGAACGCCGTGAACAAAAATGCTAAATTAGATTTAAATTTGATGTTAAACGGAAATGAATGTTTGTCCATTATCTTTAAAGCAGTGCAAATGTTTATAAGTCATACAAAGAGTGAGTGAGTGAGTATGGTTTTACGCCGCTTTTAGCAATATTCCAGCAATATCACGGCGGGGGACACCAGAAATGGGCTTCACACATTGTACCCATGTCGGGAATCGAACCCGGGTCTTCGGCGTGACGAGCCAACGCTTTAACCACTAGGCTACCCGACCGCCCCTCATACAAAGAGATTTGGGTAACACTTTAATGTACATATACTAGTCTCTCTCTTTTGTACATTTCTTGTTATCTTTACACTCATCTTCTTTTCTGTTTTCCTTGTATATGATTTACTGTACAAGCTTTGTAAATACCATGGAGAGGGAGTCCTAAGTTGGATAACTTGTTCCAATTCCATTTCAATCTGAATAAAATATGTTTAAATTAAATTAACGCCGCTTCTAACAGTATTCCAGTTATATCTCGGCGTGTCAGCTTAATGTGGGAGGAAAGCCCCAAGTGATGCAGGTCTCAGACGTTTACCACTTCGGTGAAACCCACAAGCACGGGTAGGGTGCTGACAAACCTAGAAACATAATCGGGGCAAACCGGGATTCAAACCCACAATCATAGGTTTCTGGCGTGCCCAAGGGACGCAACTCTGCACAGCGAATCAAGGCACCTTAGACGACTGGGCCACCCGTGCCCCCAGGGGTACACAGGTTTTTATGAGTCCTGTGTTAGGTTTTATACCAAGAGCCGGAGGCAAGTGTTATTAAACCTAACTGGGGATGCATAAAACCCCATGTACCCCTCTTCATCCTGCTTCAATGAAATTATCTTACCAACATGTTTTAATATGAAATTGTAAAATAATTCAAATAAATTCCAAAAATGATAGAAAAAAGCTGCGGTTACCTTCGCTATGTCACGTGACATCCATTGGTTCGGAAAAAGTGTTCGACTTTTGCTTTGAAGCGGGGTATAAAAGATTTATTCTGTCTCTCAGAAATGCACGTGCAGCCTGTAGTGCTCGTGGCGGGGTACAAGAGATTTATTCCCAATTGAGAAATTTATTACCCTCCAAGGCGGGTTACACAGTATTTTGTCAAGATCACGTGGACCAATCAGATCTCATCGTTCTGACATGGAGGTATGATGATCATTGTTACGCTACAACATCATGAGTTAAAGGAGTTAAGTACAGTTATCATAGAACTACAACCACAGAGGACCAACGCCTTATTTCTGAATTGTTCACAGTAGAGTAGTTTGTTAAAACTACAGATTTAAACATGTTTTTTTCAAAACAACATTACTAATCTATATGGGAGTTACCGTTATTAACTTCGGGGATGTCAAAACAGTCTTTTCCTTAATTTGCTGCCAAAGATAATTTGCTTTCACACGTGTTCCCTTCCCAAATAACATACCAATTTCCAATACAAGTACAGCTTAATGTGCTCTCAGGACTTGACAATCTCATTCAAATCAGATCTTTGTTCTTGCTGCCGCTAAACAAAGATCTGAGGACATCCCATTATGGTCACGTCAGAACGACCTTTCGCGCACTTTGACAGACCACTGAAATGACTAACAAGAAGTCGACATCAGCCAATTAGAAAACAGCTTTCTCGAGCTTTACAACACTTGTTTCAAACTGGCGACTTCCATTTCAGACTACACTTGAAAAATATGTTGACACAGTTCTTAATTAAAATTTTGAAAACTGAACAAACAAACATTCCGGAATGTCTAATACATGGTTGAGATTGTATGAGAAGATTGTATGTGCAACGCCTCTTCCGTTCAAATGTTTATTCCATGGAAGCGAGAGATAGACAATGATTTTGACAGAATCAGTCGTACAGGCTGTAATTGTCGTTTGGAATAACCCATGTAAATGCTACGCTCTGATTGGTCGGATGAAAGGTCATTCTGACGTGTCCAGTAATGGGATGTCCTCAGATCTCTGTTCAGCAATAGCGTGAACTAAGATCTGTTTTTAATGAGATTGGGACATCGACAAAGAAAAGTCATACATCACTTCAAAAGTCAAGGGAGACAACTCGAAACTGAAAACTATTTTGTCACGATAAATCCAGTTTGATGAGCCTGTTACCACGGTTACTACAAACCCTGATTGGACAGTAACTGACCTGCTTTTCCGACAGCATCCATTCCCACAATAATGTTGGGTAGATAGTTAAGCGAGTCGAAGATACGGAAAATGTCCATTCCATGTTTGACAGCTTGGTCACAGAACCTGGAACAGGAAGACTGAATGAGTTCCATGTAGTTTGAGCTTGTTCAAACAGCAGCGCATGGGTACCCAGTAGGATGAGAAGTAATGTAACTGTTAACATGGTTAAACTTCCACCACCACCTGGGTTGTATACTCCCTAGGGAGCTGCGAATGAAATTTACGTGAACAATGATCCAAAGATGATGATAATTATAATGTAGAGTGAACAAAATGAATGGCATCTAATGCATAATAAAAATGCATCATCAGCATCATCATCATCATCATCATTTTTATTTGTGTGTTGCCTGTGCTTACTTGAAGACAACATTCATCATCATCATCATCATCATCATCATCATTTGTGTGTTGCCTGTGCTTACTTGAAGACAACATTGTCTGGGTAGTTGGTGTAGCCGACAGCATTGGCGCCTCTCAGTAGCATCTGGAAAGGGATGTTTGGCATCTGCTTCCGTAGCTCCGCCAGGCGGTCCCAGGGACATTCGTGTAGGAAACGCAGCGCAACGTCAAAAGTAGCACCTGAAACACACGGCACAACAAGCATAAGTTGGCAGGGCAAGTGTCTGAGGTGAGTGACTGTTTTAGAATCATTCAAGTCCATTTCATTTTTCCAATATGGCAACCATCAAATATAGCAGAAGACACAATTTACTGCATATTAACTTTCACAATACATATGATGTATGATTTAATGATATGTGATTTAATGATTAAGTTATGGGTCGAATGACATTTATACAATTAGTTCTCAGGCAATGGCTTTTGAAAATAAAGCGACGTTGGGCGGCCTTTTTTTGTGTGTTCAATCTAGTATGTAACCAAAAATAAACAGTTGTGTACAATCAACCTGGGAAAGGGCCTCCCTACTAAATGTATTCCTTGATGAGTAATATACTGGAATACAGTATTGGACTACCGATGGACAACCAGTGTGTGCATAATACATAATGAGCTAAGATTTTATTTCACAACACGAAGACGTTATTGTGAACACTAAACACTGGAAGAAGTATGTCAACAAATCTGTACTGAAGTACACAAGTTAGTCCTGTTATTACACTATCTGGCCATAAAAGTGTTTATTGTATATCTGGACTTATGTTTGAGATCCATTAAATTACTTTTATCCAAGACTTCATGCAATTTGGTTTATATTAATTTCAATGAAATCGTGTATGAACTGATTGGCAAATCACATCAACTCACCATGACTCACCATGAAACGAACATGAGTAGTTAGAGATACAAAGTTTGTCAGTCCTCCAATCACTGTACTGAAATTTCAGTTCTGATATTGGCCATGACATTAAGTATATAAGTTAGGGGAGAAAATGTGTGAACGGCTGATTGCTATTTCTGGCTTATTTAACGAAACAAATACACATATAATCTTAATCTCTGCGTATGAAACAATGTCCGACATACAGTACACAAACACTATTAAATTTATAAATCATTAAGTCTTGTGAAGTTTTATCCTAAATCTCATCGTAAATTTTCATTGACCAAATTTGCAAACGGCAAAGCAAGCACACAAACTCCTATTGCTGCAACACGAGATGCGCAGTAACGCAGTGAGCATGTAAAGGGAAGTAACTGCATGCTCAATTGTATCGAATTGTTTTTAAGCATTCATTACTGTAGCATTTCACTGCTGGGGTGGTGTGCTCGAGACGTGGAATAATAGGATTTTTCAATTTCATTTTAAATGGAAATACAAACTAAATGTGAGGCGGACTTGAAGATAAACCAATCGGTGCCTGAGAACCAAGACTTTTTTAGCATTAATACTCTGTGGGCAACGAGAGACACAAATGCAAATATGAAGCATAGAAATCAGAAAAGATACTAGAAATGAATATGTTTGATGTGTCATGGTTGCTTCCAATTTTAAGTATTCTACGAGATCAAAGCTCAATGTAATACAGGAACTAGGGATGTTTTGAAGAAACTTCTTTTCACGATAATCTATCATCCTGAGGCAAGAGAGTAAACTGACTATAAAAGTCCAGTTTCAACCCTTGCCACCAGTAGCTACTACGAGTTATGTCCCTTCTATGCCTCTCCTATGGACCAATCAGATTCCACCTCTTGTATCACTTGCATTTGCTTCAAACAAAATGGCAGCACCCAGTCAAGACAATCATATCGATAATTAAGATCTATATTGTGATAAAACTGGTCTTACATCGCGAAGTGCATCAAATCACGTAAACACCTTGTTTAAAAACATGAAAAGGTTTGGAAAATATCTGTTGACAACAAGTTGGCGGTGCACATGCTTTGCAAATCCTGCAATCGACCGAAATCTGCATTACAGTTTATGAACCGGATTTTGATTTTGTTGAGCAATTTTGATTGGACTATGCTTAGACTCGTTAGTCCAGCCAAAATGTAACTCCATAATACCAGCCTGGTTTGGCAAGGGTGGAAACTGGACTTTTATAGTCAGTTATCTCTCTTGCCTCGGGAAGATGCGTTAATCAAGATACTGATGATTTTGAATAAGGTAACTATCAATTTGTTCCTCTACAAAAACGTTTCTTTATCTTAAACTTATTAAGTGAAACATTTAAGATTTCAAGGTATCCTTGAAACGAAACATTCATGTAACCAAGTTTGTATTCATTTAATCATGTTTATAATCTTTTAAAATACCAACCTCCCCAATTTTCTGAGCTGAAAAGGTTATTAAAGTTGTGGGCGACGTAGGGAGAGATTCGCTTGAGATCATGGGTGCGGACACGTGTTGCCAACAGCGACTGATGAGCGTCTCGGAAGGTGGTGTCCATTAGCAGCAGGCCCTTGTGTTCCCGCACCTTCTTGGCGAAACCCTCTGGTCCCTCCTTCAACAAGATGTCCCTCCACCCCGGGGGAGGCTTAGTGGCTGAAAACAGGAACAGCCATGAAGATATTCTTCTAATATATTCATATAATTGTCTGAACTCACTTGGAGCCAGGTTTGGCTCATCTTCCCGAGGCAAGAGAGTTAACTGATTTTAAAAGACCCGTTTCCACCCTTGCTAAACTAGGCTGGATTTTCTGGGTTCGATTGAAGAGCCACCAGTGACTATTGCGAGTTATGTCCCTTCTATGTCCCTCCTACTGACCAATCAAATTCCACTTCTCATATCACTTGCATTTGCTTCAAACAACATGGCGGCACCCATACAAGACGATCTGATCGTTAATCAATATCGATATTGTAACAAAATGGGTGTTACTTCGCGAAGTACATCAAACTACATGAGCACCTTGATAAAAAACATGAAAAGATTTGGGAAATATCTCTTGATGCTAAGTTAACAGGACATATGCTTTGCAAATCTTGTAATCAACCGAAATCTGTAGGCAGTTTACGAACCGGATGTTGATTTTGTTGTGCGATCTTGACTGGACTATGCATAGAATCGTTAGTCCAGCCAAAACATAACTACATAATTCAAGCAAAGTTCGGCAAGGGTGGAAACTGGACTTTTATGCCTCAGGAAGATGGGGTTGGGTGTTATTTTCACTTGTTCCTCTCTGTGATTTCTTTGATCCTTGCATACATCCATAGACCTCCACACATAAGCACGGTGTTTCTGTTTACTGGTAGTTAGGAGAGCTGGGATGGGTACACAAGTACTCAAGCATGGGTTGACATGTGCCTCAGACAGGGGGAGATAACTCATATCTTCACTTCATGTTGCAGACGTAGAACAGAAGCAGCAAAAGGTCTGACAATTACGACAATAACATAAACACAAATTTCACAATGTTTGTTGCCTTCTCCTCACAAAACATGAGCGGTAATTCCTGTACCTGTTGAGAACTTTGTGGTCCCACACTGAATACAAAGGATTTTACCATTGGCTAATATACCTTTGCGGCAAGTAAAGCTGCCGGACATACTGATAGACTGCCAGTCAAGTTGTTATGATCAGAATTTCCATTAGTCTTAATACTTTTATAGCAAAAACATTTAGTGATTTTACATATAAATAAAACTTTAATATGCTTGTATTATTAGTGATTTTTCAACCATTACAATAATGTATCTATAAATTTGAGATGAACTGGAAATAATACTTAGGAATAAATGCAATTAATATAATTTGATCTTTAATCAAACTGATGATTGATTTCCATAAAGCTGCTTTGATTTAACAGGTATATATAACTTTTCCACATTGAAACAGTTCACAAAATAGTCAATATTTCAGTTTGAGCCAGGCAAACCAGTGGGTGACTGCATGAGCATCAAACAAAAAGAAGCAAGATCATCCAGGGACCTGTTCCACAAGTGATCGTAGTGTTACGACAGTTGTAAGTACCAAGTGTATTTTAAAGTATGGGAGTTATGATCGATCCACGCAATTGGGATATGATGACAGGCATCAACCAAGTCAGCGAGCTTACCACCCGATCCTGTTAGTCGCCTCTTACAACAAGCATAGTCACCTCTTAAGGCAAGCATGGGTTGCTGAAACAGCTTGAATGACAAACATGGGGTACATGTTCTGGCCTGATAATATGACATCGCCCCTGGGTTTGACATTTCACTTGAACACTTTAATCAACATTTTTCAAAATAAATGGTGTGGATAAAAAACACCATCAATCTAAAAGAAACAGAGATATTTCACATTTTTTCACGAACCTGAGCATGCATGAACAGGATTTAATATCGACTTGTATTATCAAATATATGGAACCTTGAAAGCCTAGCCTGTGTAAAGAAAAGTTTAAAAAAATGACAAACAGAAGCACATCACCACTAACAAAGCAAGAAAAAGTATTATATATGGTGCAAATCTCCCATAGTCTAGGCCTTTTTCCTACAAAGTATTAGAGGTGTTGCCAATCTCCCACAGTCTAGGCACCTGTCCTACAAAGTATTAGACGTGGTGCCAATGTCCCACAGTCTAGGCCCCTATCCTATAAAGTATTAGACGTGGTGCCAATGTCCCACAGTCTAGGCACCTGTCCTACAAAGTATTAGAGGTGTTGCCAATCTCCCACAGTCTAGGCCCCTGTCCTACAAAGTATTAGATGTGGTGCCAATCTCCCACAGTCTAGGGCCCTGTCCTACAAAGTATTAGATGTGGTGCCAATCTCCCACAGTCTAGGTCCCTGTCCTACAAAGTATTAGACGTGGTGCCAATCTCCCACAGTCTAGGCCCCTATCCTACAAAGTATTAGACGTGGTGCCAATCTCCCACAGTCTAGGCCCCTATCCTACAAAGTATTAGACGTGGTGCCAATCTCCCACAGTCCAGGCCCCTGTCCTACAAAGTATTAGACGTGGTGCCAATCTCCCACAGTCTAGGCCCCTGTCCTACAAAGTATTAGACATGGTGCCAATCTCCCACAGTCTAGGCACCTGTCCTATAAAGTATTAGATGTGGTGCCAATCTCCCACAGTCTAGGCCCCTGTCCTACAAAGTATTAAAGGTGGTGCCAATCTCCCACAGTCTAGGCACCTGTCCTATAAAGTATTAGACGTGGTGCCAATCTCCCACAGTCTAGGCCCCTGTCCTACAAAGTATTAGAGGTGTTGCCAATCTCCCACAGTCTAGGCCCCTGTCCTACAAAGTATTAGATGTGGTGCCAATCTCCCACAGTCTAGGCCCCTGTCCTACAAAGTATTAGACGTGGTGCCAATCTCCCATAGTCTAGGCACCTGTCCTACAAAGTATTAGATGTGGTGCCAATCTCCCACAGTCTAGGCCCCTGTCCTACAAAGTATCAGATGCGGTGCCAATCTCACACAGTCTAAACCCCTATCCTATAAAGTATTAGACGTGGTGCCAATCTCCCACAGTCTAGGCCCCTGTCCTATAAAGTATTAGATGTGGTGCAAATCTCCCACAGTCTAGGCCCCTGTCCTACAAAGTATTAGATGTGGTGCCAATCTCCCACAGTCTAGGCCCCTGTCCTATAAAGTATTAGACGTGGTGACAATCTCCCACAGTCTAGGCCCCTATCCTACAAAGTATTAGATGTGGTGCCAATCTCCCACAGTCTAGGCCCCTGTCCTACAAAGTATTAGACGTGGTGCCAATCTCCCACAGTCTAGGCCTTTTTCCTACAAAGTATTAGATGTGGTGCCAATCTCCCACAGTCTAGGCACCTGTCCTACAAAGTATTAGACGTGGTGCCAATCTCCCACAGTCTAGGCCTTTTTCCTACAAAGTATTAGATGTGGTGCCAATCTCCCACAGTCTAGGCCCCTGTCCTACAAAGTATTAGACGTGGTGCCAATCTCCCACAGTCTAGGCACCTGTCCTACAAAGTATTAGATGTGGTGCCAATCTCCCACAGTCTAGGCCCCTGTCCTACAAAGTATTAGATGCGGTGCCAATCTCACACAGTCTAAACCCCTATCCTACAAAGTATTAGACGTGGTGCCAATCTCCCACAGTCTAGGCCCCTGTCCTATAAAGTATTAGATGTGGTGCCAATCTCCCACAGTCTAGGCCCCTGTCCTACAAAGTATTAGATGTGGTGCCAATCTCCCACAGTCTAGGCCCCTGTCCTACAAAGTATTAGATGTGGTGCCAATCTCCCTTAAATCAAAGCAAACTAACATGTTACTTCCTGGTGCTGCTACTGGTGGATGTTAGTGATATATATTCTGTTATTTGTTTTAATGACTGTACACTGAGAAAGTGTACCCCAAAAGTTAGAAAGAAGAAACATTTGTCTAGGCAGAAAGTCCAAACTTAATGGTAAGTCAAACTGGGTAACTTCGTTCAGTGAGTTTATAAGATGGCGACTTATGGCGTGAGCATCAAAATGTGACATTCAAGTGACACTTTCATCTTATCAGCATCGATTAACATAAAATATGTGACAGTGAGTGAGTGAGTGGGGTTTAACGCCGCTTTTAACAGTATTCCAGTTATATCACGGCGTGTCAGCTTAATGTGGGAGGAAAGGCTGAAGTGATGCAGGCCTCAAGACGTTTACCACTTCGGTGAAACCCACGAGCACGGGTATGGTGCTGACAAACCTAGAAACATAATCGTGGCGAACCGGGATTCGAACCCACAATCATAGGTTTCTGGCGTGCCTAAGGGACTTAACTCTGCACAGCGAATCGTGGTCCCTTTTTAGCTATAAGAAAACATCATAATATTAATGTTAGTGTTCTTGTAGGGCTAGGGCACTCGGGGGCTCAGGGACTCGGGTCGGGTCGGGACAGTGAGTGAGTGAGTGGGGTTTAACGCCGCTTTTAACAGTATTCCAGTTATATCACGGCGTGTCAGCTTAATGTGGGAGGAAAGGCTGAAGTGATGCAGGCCTCAAGACGTTTACCACTTCGGTGAAACCCACGAGCACGGGTATGGTGCTGACAAACCTAGAAACATAATCGTGGCGAACCGGGATTCGAACCCACAATCATAGGTTTCTGGCGTGCCTAAGATGCAACTCTGAACAGCGAATCGCGGCGCCTTAGACGACTGGGCCTGGAAGGATGGACAGACCGCACCCATTCCTATATCCCCTTCCTACTTTGTGGGAAATACATAATTTCTAACCCTAGTAGAAATAAACAACATACAAATTTTCAACTGTGTGCCCAATGGCAGGCAAGTCACGACACTAACGTTTTGTTACAAAAGAAAAGACACAGGCACATTTAGCATATTAAGTATTTTTTCAGCATCAATATTTTGACATCACACTAAACCAGTGATATAAATCAACCATTCTTCTAAGAATGTATTCACATATGGATGATACAGTTAATAATCATGGACTGCCAGTAACTGTAGAGGTAGAAAGGAATATATCATAATATACAAAAAAAAGCTAAGTGTTTTTTACGATGTTATGTAAGTTTTCATTGGTTAGAACACTTGCTTGTTTCCCACTGGACCCAGATCAGAACCAACTTCATCATCCAAGCAGTTGCAAGATAGATGATTTTCTAAATATTACTAAATTTCCAATTTAGAAGCAAGAAAAGGAAACAAAAGATTGGAACCAATCCAAAACACTGATGTCTTCATTTATTTAAAAATTGACTTTCACTTTGTGAGGGACAAAGCGTATAAATATTAGTTTCACGACAAAGCTGTAGATCATGTCAACATTAAAACATTACTGGACCTTTAATGTCAAGTTTCAACTTCATTGTTTCATCGGTTTCGATTGTAGCCGATATTTACAAACAATGACAACAAAGGCAACATTGGCAATGACAAACATTCACTAGATCCATAAGTGCAGGGTCCGCTTGCACAAAGCGATCTTAGCGCTAAGACTGTCGTAAGCCATGTTAAAGTATGGGAGTTACGATCATGTTAGTGCTAAGATCGCTTTGTGCAAGTGGGGCCATGTGAACCTAACATTAAAGTATCTACGCCAAACCATAACATATGATATCATTAAAACTTACCTCATACTGTTTCTTTAATTTCACAAAATGAACAAATATCAAAGTTTTGAGTCAAATAACACGTCAAAATGGCAGCCAGAGCGGCCATATTTAAAATCAGATTTGAATTCAGTTGGCAGCCTTACGATCGTCAATGTAAACAAGTTTCTGCCTGACACGGAGGAATGACGATGGATGCCATTACATAACCTCACCTTGACCTTCGGTTGAGATGAGCTTATGAGCTGAAATCAAAGTTCAAGGCCAGACAAACATACAGAGGGTAGCTACGGTACAATGAACAAGCAATGAGGCAACTGATGTAATTTCCATTTACTTACAATTGTTACACTGCAGCATATCTTTTAAAAACTTTCAAGGCGAGAAATCTGAATTCCACAGTTCTGATTCAGAAGGGCAGCGAAAACTTGTCGACACAAAGCACTTAATTTATTTCACCCTTAAGGAGTGAGTGAGTGAGTGAATATGGTTTTACGCCGCTTTTAGCAATATTCCAGCAATATCACGGCGGGGGACACCAGAAATGGGCTTCACACATTGTACTCATGTCGGGAATCGAACCCGGGTCTTTGGCGTGACGAGCGAACGCTTTAACCACTAGGCTACCCGACCGCCCCTCACCCTAAGGGTGTCTACTAGGAGGTGTTAAGAGTATTCATTTTTTTCTAAAATAAGCATTATTAAAATGTCTATGATTTAATCTATGTGAAAGAAAGAGTGTTAGTGTTCATTGTATAGCTCGAGGCACCTTACTGCACCATACAACAGAAGAATACACGAAAGTCATTCACCATGTTATCAGTTTCGCATAAAAGAATAAATAATACAACCACATCTAAAATGTTTACCTATAAGAGTGAGTGAGTGAGTGAGTTGGGTTTAACGCCGCTTTTAACAGTATTCCAGTTATATCGCGGCGTGTCAGCTTAATTTTGGAGGAAAGCCCGAAGTGGCACTGGTCTCAGACGTTTACCACTTTGGTGAAGCCCACGAGCACGGGTATGGTGCTGACAAACCTAGAAACATAATCGGGGCGAACCGGGATTCGAACCCACAATCATATGTTTCTGGCGTGCCTAAGGGACTCAACTCTGCACAGCGAATCGTGGTCCCTTTTTAGCTATAAGAAAACATCATAATATTAATGTTAGTGTTCTTGTAGGGCTAGGGCACTCGGGGGCTCAGGGACTCGGGTCGGGTGGGTACTCAATAGGGCCAGGGTACCCACAGGTCTACCCGGACCCATGGTTAGTCACGTGATATATTGTTTAATCACAAAACTTATCTAGAACTCTGTGAACACACTACAAGTCACGAACGTTCACAATTCTTTAATCCTATATTCGTATCCCTCCGATGTTTGACTCCACTATGAACAGAATATATCACAGTTAATGTAATCTGTGAGAAAACCCAAAATGGTGCAGCATGGATGTGGTCCTCACAAACCGCTTTTAGCAATATTCCAGCAATATCACGCCTAGGGACACCAGAAATGGGCTTCACACATTGTACCCATGTCGGGAATCGAACCCAGGTCTTCGGCGTGACGAGCGAACGCTTTAACCACTAGGCTACTCGACCGCCTCCACCAAACAGAGATGCTTGAAATAAAACTACAAAATGCAAACAAATCACTTTTTTCCCCTATGAACAGTATATATCACAGTTAATTGTTATGTAATCTGTGAGAAAACCGAAAATGGTGCACACCAAGTAGTGAGCTGAGCTTAACGCCACTTTGAACAATGTTCAAGGTTATATCACAGCATGTCAGCTTAATGTGAGAGGAAACCCGAAGTGATGCAGGTCCCACAAACCAAGGATCATCAGAACAATTCATTTTAACCTATAATCAGTGTATCCTGGCACCACTAAGGGGCACAACTCTACATGGTGAATTCTGGTGCCTAATCAAGTAGGCTAGCTTGTTGCGAACTATGGATATTTTAGGCTTCAAAGAAACAGGGTTTCACTGAATTATCATGAATAATTGGATGGATTCTGCTTGACATAAAAAGCACCACTTTTTCTGAAATACCAGACTTCACAGACAGTACAAAATAAACCATGCAAATCGACATAAAAAAAAGAGAGAGATTTTTTGCAGCAAATTAAATCATATTGTTATTGGGTTATTTATCACTGGAGGATAAAGAAATCTTTATAATGCGAAATCCAGTTAATAAAGCATGTCTATTTTGAGATATCTGACTACAAAAATTTAACATACTGAAATAATCATGCTGACCGTGATTGCATCATAAATTGCACACTTACCTTGAAAACCTGTAAACATTTCAGAACACGACGTTAATTTCATCAGAGATTATTTACATTCCCATCGAACTGACAGCTTTTGATAAACATGCAGTCTCATTAAAATCAGATCTTAGTTCTCGCTACCGCTAAACAGAGATCTGAGGACATCCCATTACGGGTCACGTCAGACTGACCTTGCGCGAACTTTGACCGACCAATGGAATGACCAATCAGAAGCTTTTTCGTGCTTTACAGCACTAATTTCAAATTGGCGACTACGCTTCGAAACATATTTTGACAAATTCTCGATTACAGATTTGAAACCTGAACAAAAGAACATTCTGGAATGGCTAAAAGATGGTCTAGATTGTATGGATTCAGTCGTTAAACCCGTAACTATCGTTCGGAGTTTTCGAGGTTGCAAGATTAGAAATCACATTCCGACTGTCACTTTCATAATCTGGTAAGCGATGCTCTGATTGGTCGGATGAAAGTGTTCTGAAGTGACCCCTAATGGGATGTCCTCAGATCTTTGTTTAGCGGTAGCGAAAACTGAGGTCTGATTTTAATGAGATTGGACAAACATGTTTATTAAAGGCAACAGTGAAAATAACTGGTATTGATTTCTGACTTATATTAATAGAACTCATAGTTATAATAGCTTTGTTTGCTTGTTTGTTTGTTGTTTAACATCACACTCAGCAATATTCCAGCAATACGACGGCGGTCTGTAAATAATCGAGTCTGGACCAGACAATCCAGCAATTGACATCCACGCAACTGGGATATGATGACATGCATCAACCAAGTCAGTGAGTCTGACCACCCGATCCTGTTAGTCAGCTCTTACGACAAGCATAGTCACCTTTTACGGCAAGCATGGGTTGCTGAAAACCTATTCTATCCTTGGATCTTCACAGTCTAATGATTTCTGACTTACATTAATAGAATTCATGGTTTTCTATGCATGAATAGAAGTAAACAAAAAACATCTTTCAGATAGCAGAATTGTTATTGATATACCGTATTCGACGTAATACGCGCCCATGGCGCTCTAAAAATTATAAATAAGGAGCTCTTATTAGAATGGTATTTTGGTGAGAGAAAAAAACAAAGTTGAAAGATAAATTTCGTGGTTTATGCTGACAGCCTGAAAATGTTTGTATGTATACAACAGATATATCTTTCCAGAATTTAATTGCCCATAATTAAGGGTGCATATAACACACGAGTGTGTATTATACACGAATAAATAAGTCTTGTGTACATTGATCAATCGGAAGGGGTGCTAACTGGGATTGTTCATGAGCCAATATATCAACAAATATCGCCGTGGGCGCATATTAGAGAAGGGCGCTTATTACGTCGAATACGGTAATAGATTTTGAATAAATACACTCATTTTCTCTTGCTTATTAGGGAAACTGAACTCCAGAACTGGACAAAACACAATATTAACTGCTTTAGCCAACAGTAAACATGGTACAAGACTTTCAGGATAAAACTACCAGGTAACTATGGTAACATCATGCAAATTGAAATTTTGGAATTGCTTTTAATTGATAACTACCAGGAACTAAGATAAGACTCAACTTACATCAAAGCAATAGTCATCTGCCCATTGCATATTTTGTAATTATTTTTGTTCCATTTTCATTTAATGAATTCTTAACTCTCTCTTAGAACTTCACTACACAAATATTAATAACAAAATGTTAACCTAACAAGATGTCTATACACCATGTATACTGTAAATCTTGAAACTGATGCGAGCGTGAATTAAATGCGAAAAATGACAGTGGTCTTTGTCCGCATTAAGAAACTTCGCAGTTCTTTCTCCAAAATGACTATCAACAATCTGCAGACTTTTGAGAGGGGAAATACCAACTTGAATATAGACACAAACACGGTTTATTGAGCAGCAGTTGTAACAAGTACATAACAATGTCATTTAAAGAATAGGAATTGCACAATAGGTATCTGGTGCATTATCACTGCTGGGGTCAAGAGTTCTACCCACTCGTGTCAAACTAAGCATCACTGACCACTCCAATCAGTGAACTGTTTTTGGTTCAATTATTTTATTGCCTTTGAACTTCCTTAATGTCAGTCAACAGAATAAACATATAAACTGTGTGTTGTGTTTAGGAAAACACTGTTTATTGTTAGTACAGAAGTTCTTTACTCAGCGCTAATAAGCGTTTCTATTTGCTGTTTGATTGGATTAGGGTAAGGATATGCATCATTCCACTAGGGATGGGGTGGGGGAGTCGCATTGATTTTGAGTCGGATTTTTGGCTAGGGGTCAGCAGTCGTATTAATTTGGAAACGCTTTAATTTCAAGATTTACAGTAATTCAATACCACAACACATCTATTCTAAATAACCTCTAAATAAGCTACACGATTTCCCAAACTGCTCACCGCAAATCTAACATACCTTGAAACCAAAAAGCATTCGCCCAGTACAACACAGCTCAACCTACCTACGGGGGTCTCGGGTACAGTCGGGGTGATCTCGGAAGGCTTCAGGTTGGTTGCTAGTGGGGTGGAGGCCCCGTTGACTATCACCTGACCAAGGTAGTACAGGAGTTTCTGGGCTCGGTTCTGGCTCGGGTAGAAACTGAACAGTTGTGGGTTTTCGTCGATGAAGTATGTGTCGAGGACACCAGTGAGGAATTCCTGATTCTCTAACACATTCAGCAGGAACGGAATGTTGGTCTGAAACACAAGCAAGGGAGCTAACTCTTACCATCCAATATGGTGTACCCTTCTCCCATATATCATCTCCCCTGTCAACTGTGAGTGAGTGAGTACGTTTTTACGCCGCTTTTAGCAATATTCCAGCAAAATAACGGCTAGGGACACCAGAAATGGGCTTCACACATTGTACCCATGTCGGGAATCAAACCCGGGTATTTGGCGTGACGAGCGAACGCTTTAACCACTAGGCTACCCGACCGCCCCCACCCATCAGAGATGCTTGAAATAAAACTACAGTATGCAAACAAATCACTTTTTTCCTACAGATTTCATTTAAAAATTCTGAAAAACAGACACTTTACAAATTAATCATTTAACTTTGAATGTATTTTATCCAATGAACAGACATCAATTCAAAATTATAACAAACAAGTCAGTTTTATTCATAATCTAGATGTAGATATTTTTTTATTTGTATTCTTATCCTGCATAACTACGTATTCATAATGCTACGCATGTCTTGCCTGTGATCATACCCAAATTGTATCAATTGGATGAACCAATTATACATTCAGGAACCTAAGACTAAAGACAAACAATAGCCTCACATAGTCCTTCCTTAATTTATCTACTTCTTATCTGCTTATGAATATGTAATGTATACAATTCTCGGTATCACCATGTTAATAAATTATTGTTCAGCTGCGTTCAGAAGCACAAAAATTAATGATCTATATGAAGGCGTTGCTCACAGGATGAATGTCAGACGGACAACTCACCTTGACTCCACGAATACGGAACTCTTTGAGAGCTCGTAACATCTTGGAACATGCGGATGGGTGGTCTCGAGCCTGGGCAATGACCTTGACCAGCAGAGAGTCGTAATAGGGGGAGATAATTGCTCCTGCAAAAGCCGACGCACTGTCTAGACGGATCCCCATACCCTCTCCACTCCGGAATACCTACACAGAAATGTGACATGATAATACAGTGGACAGAGTTCCAGTTGGCTTTTGAAACTGCCAGTCAGGCAACTCTAAAACTAACCATTCCCCCTAATTATTTCAACAAATCCAAAATCACATGGAAAGTACTTGGTTTGAATTCATTCAACATCATGTTCAATGCAATGACGTCATCTCTGAAGTAACTTTGATCTACACGTCATTCACACAAAGTTCAGTCACAATTTTCTATTAGATTTTTTTATAACATTTCGAGACCAGTCGCAGCAAATATATATTTATCCTCGAAGCAAAGTGAAATGTTATTTCCTTGCACTAAAAATAGACAAGGGGATGGTAACAGACAAGCTTGAAAAAAATATACTAATATGAATATCGCTGATGTTTTGTTCAACAACAAAGACTTATAAGGTACTTTATTTGCTGGTCCACAGGGACTGGCAGTCAATACTCGGGACAGGACCAAGCAATCCTGTGAATAATATTATGAGCAACAGCCCACATCATTAAAGTACGATGACATCAAATCTACCAGTCACTGAATCTAACCACCCATTCCATTAGTGAGTGAGTAAGTTGGGTTTAACACCGCTTTTAACAATATTCCAGTTATAACACGGCGTGTCAGCTTAATGTGGGAGGAAAGCCCCAAGTGATACAGGTCTCAGACGTTTACCACTTCGGTGAAACCCACGAGCACGGGTATGGTGCTGACAAACCTAGAAACATAATTGGGGCGAATCGGGATTTGAACCTACAATCATAGGTTTCTGGCGTGCCCAAGGGACGCAACTCTGCACAGCGAATCGCGGGGCCTTAGACAACTGGGCCACCCGTGCCCCCTCCCTCCCCCCCCTCCCCCCTTCCATTAAGCCGCCTAGTCTCACTACAAGGGTATAGAGGACCTAGTCCAACCCAGAATCCCTATGGGCAGCTCTAAAATGGGGCACTCTACAGATGTACAAAGACAGGTACCCACCTCAATCCTGCCTGTGTCTGGCTGGAAGCCGCGGGCAGGATCCTCCGTGGTCATCCGACACTGAATGGCTGCTCCGTTGAGTCGGATGTCCTCCTGGTTGAGGCCGAGCTCTGGGAGAGACTTGCCCTCAGAGATTCTGATCTGGGACTGAACCAGGTCGATCCTGGGGGGAGAGAGCGGACAATGAGCCACACCCATAAACTATGTTGTAGGTCATCATTGTACAGCATTCAGAATTTGACAACTATCTGCCACGTGGATACGATAAAAAAAACAGGTGACTGAAGGGTTTTGTTGTTGTCATTATTATGATCAGCAATAGAAACTAACATTTGTTTATTTGTTGTCTAACGCCGCACTCAGCAATATTCCAGCTATATGATGGCGGTCTGTAAATAATCGAGTCTGAACCAGACAATCCAGTGATTAATGTCATGAACATCGATCCACGCAATTGGGATCGATGACATGCATCAACCAAGTCAGCGAGCCTGACCACCCGATCCCGTTAGTCGCCTTTCACGACATGTACGACAAGTATGGTCGCCTTTTACAGCAAGCATGGGTTGCTGAAGACCTATTCTACTCGGATCTTCACAGGTCAACTTTAGTCAACTAGTTCTTATAATGGTAACATATAGCAAAACCCTTAAGAAGTGCAAATGTCTCTAGTCCTTAGGATACCTTAACCACTGGGCAGTTTGGCAAGGACTATAGGACAAGTGCCTATTTCAGTGCCTAACGCTGATGGTGAATACATGACCTGTGCTATACTCTCTGACACTACCCAGATATGAAATACAATCCACCTCTACAGACATGGAAATAAACCACTGGAAACTGCTAATGAAATTTAATCTGTGCATTTTAATGAATATAATAAAAAGGTTTTTTTCACAGAAAATTTGTTTTGAAATATTTTATCTCTATTCACAATGTGACATTCGATTTAGTGAGAGAGTTGGGTTTAATGCTGTTTTGAACAGTATTCCAGTTATAATACGGCGTGTCAGCTTAATGTGGGAGGAAAGCCCGAAGTGATGCAGGTCTCAGACGTTTACCACTTTGGTGAAACCTACGAGCACGGGTATGGTGCTGACAAATCTAGAAACTTAATCGGGCCGAACTAGGATTCGAACCCACAACCATAGGTTTCTGGCGTGCCCAAGGGACGCAACGATCAAGTGTGGTATCTTAGACGACCGAGCCACCCTTGCCCCATGTAACTTTCGAAGGTTATACCATCATCAGTTTCTTTCTCAACATTTACAAAGAGGAGAGTTCTGATTGGTGTATCTTCACAACATGTATGAGAGGAGAGTTCTGATTGATGTATCTTCACAACATGTATGAGAGGAGAGTTCTGATTGGTGTATCTTCACAACATGTATGAGAGGACAGTTCTGATTGGTGTATCTTCACAACATGTATGAGAGGAGAGTTCTGATTGGTGTATCTTCACAACATGTATGAGAGGAGAGTTCTGATTGGTGAATCTTCACAACATGTATGAGAGGAGAGTTCTGATTGGTGTATCTTCACAACATGTATGAGAGGAGAGTTCTGATTGGTGTATCTTCACAACAAGTATGAGAGGAGAGCTGAGATTGGCTCAGTGATCTACACCCAGAATCCCAAAGGGACACAGCATTAAACCCAGGAACACATCAGACCTACATATAAGCTGCATATTGCGTAAAATACTCCCAAAAAATTAATCAAAACCCAATTACTTTCAACTAACTTGCGTACAGAAACACATGCATTAAATGAAAAACTTAATTGTTTGAAAACAGCACACGTAAATACCCAATGAAGCTTTTTCAACATGCGTACAACACAATTATGAACCAATTTACTTTCCGAGTCAAGCCTATATTTAAAACCGTTATATACAGCTAAAACATTATTTCATTTTTTTCTAAATCTCAAAATGTTTAATCATTTTGGGAAAAAACCAATAGAGTGATGAATAGATGAGTGAAAAAATATTGGTTACCCAATGAAAACTGTAATAACACAATTAAAATAGAAACCTTTGAGTAAAAACTCAATTGCTCAAAAGGTTATCTGGAGGAGATATCTTGTGTACATGCATGTTTCTAATGCAATGAGGCCATCAAAAATTACCGGTAATTGCTAGATTATCATCCACTTTTTTTCAAAAGTGGGGAGGGAGGCTTTTTATTTTTTATTTTTTGTTATCTATAAAAGTCGTCAAGTTGAAGACTGAACAATAGATGACTGAAATAACAAATTATTATCAAAATAGCGAGCACCATCTTGACAGCCTACAGCAAGCGGACGATAGGCAGGCGTGCACCGAGAGTCGGTTGTAGACCAGTTTACAGCATGTCGTAAACATGAAAAGGTCGTTTCAAAGCTGATGTTGTTACATTGCTTTAAACATTTCACTGGGGCAAATAAAATTTATTTGTCGGGCGGTGGGGGGGGGGGTTAGTCGTAAGTCCGGCAGGGATGATAATCCAGCAATTTAATTATTATGGCCTTAATAACACACAAACATATGAAGCATGCAGCATCTCATCCCAACATAAACACAGCCTCCCTACCCTGTAACTTCCTCCGTCACCGTGTGTTCCACCTGCAGACGAGCGTTCACTTCGATGAAGTAGTAATGGCCATTTTTGTCCAAAAGAAACTCAACCGTCCCTGCATTCTCGTAGCCAACATGGCGGGCCAGTTTCACAGCGTCCGCAGTCATGCTGTCACGCAGGTGTTGCGGCAAATGGGGTGCAGGCGCTATCTCTACCACCTTCTGATGACGTCGCTGCACGGAGCAGTCTCGCTCGTACAGGTGGATCACATTCCCGTGGCCATCACCTGGAGAAGTTGTGCAGTTCTTAGACCCGAAGACCATAATTTGACCATTTTGTTGACCACCATCAAAATATCGACCAACACATTATAGATGCTGCTGAAAATACCGTATTCGACGTAAGAAGCGCCCAGGGCGCTCTCAAAATTAGGAATAGGGGGCTCTTATTAGAATATTATTTTGGTGAAAAAAACAGAGTTGAAAGATAAATTTCGTAGTTTATGCTGACAGCCTGAAATGTTTACGTACGACAGATATATTTTTCCAGAATTAAATTCCCCATAATTAAGGGGAGTGTGTATTATACGCGAATAAATAAGCCTTGTGTACATTGGTCAATTGGAAGGGGTGCTAATTCGGATTGTTCACTAGCCAATATATTAGCAAATATCGCCATGGGCGCTTATTACGTCGAATACGGTACTCTATCTCTATTCTAAATATTTGATATTTAACAATGTGATTATTCTTACATATTTATGATCATGTTAAATTTGTTGACAAACTCTTTTTTCCTTACAGTCTCTTTCGGGAGAGAACTTTACATGCCTTTAATATCTTAAAATGGATACCAAGCACTTTTTTTTGCAAGCAGACAAAACATATTTGTACTGTCCAAGCCAGAGACTGTCACAGTTGTTCCTGAGGTTTCAAATCAATCCAATCAATTATTCTTATTTGGCATTTCTTGCTGTTTATTTCCCAGAAGTGACAGATCACCTGACAAGAGGAAGTATGTTGGTGAGAGAAATAAACACTATTATAATGATTATTCAAAGAAAGTTTGCGGTAAACCTGCTTTGCAAATCCTGCAATTGATCGAAATCTGCACAGAATTTACAAACCTGACGTCGATTTCGTTACTCGATTTTGATTGAACTATGCATAGACTCGTTAGTCCAGCCAAAATGTAACTCCATAATTCCAGCCTATGTCGTCAAGGATGGAAACTGGACTTATTAACTCCCTTGCCTTGAGAAGACGTTGTAAAGCTAGTCACAACACTACTACAGTTGCTCTAGATCCACTCTTCCCGAGGCAAGTGAGTTAACTGACTGTAAAAGTTTCCAGTTTGCACCCTTGCCGAACTAGGCTGGTATTATGGAGTTACATTTTGGCTGGACTAACGAGTCTATGCATAGTCCAATCAAAATCGCGCACTGAAATCGAAATCGGGTTCGTAAAGTGTCATGCAGATTTCTGTCGACTGCAGGATTTGCAAAGCATGTGCACCACTAACTTCTAAATTTGTTCATGCTTTTAATCAAGGTGCTCACGTGATTTGATGCACTTCGCGATGTAAGACTCGTTTTAACACAATATCGGGAAGATGGGCTTATGCACGACATACCTAAGATTTGGACTTCTATGTGTCTTGGCCTCTCGATAAACTTCTCCAGGAAGAGTTCTCCATTCCCAAACGCTGACAATGCTTCGGAGTATGCTCTGTCAAAGCTCTCCTCAACGTCCTGCATTAAGACAAACACATATCCATAAGGAAATGACATTGTCAGCATTGTCACAAATAAAACTATACAGATAAAACAGATTTGATAACATTCTGAAACATGTTTGATTGGTCTTTAACAGGAGCATAGCTAGGGTAAATAACCATGTAAACAATCATATTCCAGTACTTATTTTTCTTAAACACTCATTACGCTATCAAACACAAGCAGGCCTGTGCAACACATCGAAAACAGATATCACGATCTATCCTTACCATCCTCTGAACATTACACATTTTAAGTATAAAACAGTTTGATTATTGTGATCAAACACAGATATCTTCATAAAATATAGATTATCAGTGCAAGAGAATAACCACTTGAGATTATCCATGGAAACAGATTCCATTTGGCGTTAAGTCAAATTAGCTGTGAAAATTAACTGAATTGACCACTGAAAATCATTTGACACCAGGTGTTCGTAAAAAGGGTAAAAGAAATGTAAAAAGCAAACAACATCGAATCAACTCAATGACAATTTTGTCACTGGTAGGCGGGTCAAAATTTTAATTATCAAAAGATCATGTAACTGTAACAAACGACTGAAAGAGGTGGAAGGCACTAAAGCACTTTTTTTTTCTTCTTTTTTTTTCAATGATTTCAAAGTGAAAGCACTTGCTTTTTGTGCTGGTAGCTACGCAACTGTTAACTGCCAATTTTAAAAGGTCAATTAACAAGTCAAAAACAATTATCAGACAATTTGCAAATTTCCTCAGAATTTGAAGCCAAGATTTACATTCTCCTGTCCAACAGTTTGGGAGATGTCCACATATGTTGATGCAGGTGACACCAGACAGACAAACCAGGTACTCATTTGGCCCTACAAATTCCCAATCTCATTAAAATCAGATCTTAGTTTTCGCTACTGCTAAACAAAGATCTGAGGACATCCTATTACGGGTCATGTCATAACGAACTTTCGCAAATTTTGACCGACCAATGAAATGACTGACAAGAAATCAACATTGGCCAATCAGAAGGCAGCTTTCTCGAGCTTTACGATACTAGTTTCAAACTGGCGACTACTCTTCGAAACATAATTTGACGTATTCTCGATTAAAAATTTTAAAACTGATAAGAAGAACATTCTGGAATGGCTTATAGATGGCCTAGATTGTATGGATATAATCATAAAACCCGTAACTGTTGTTCGGAATACCCCGTGTTAAACATATCGTGGTTGCATGATTAGAAAACACATTCCGACTGTCACTTTCATGATCTGGTAAGCGACGCTCAGATTAGTTGGATGAAGGGTCGTTCTGACATGACCCGTAATGGGATGTCCTCAGATCTTTGTTTAGCGATAGAGAGAACTAAGATCTGATTTTAATGAGATAGTACAAATTCTGTTACCACATTCGGCATACAAACCTCAATATTCTTGACAACCCTCATTCCACGTCCACCTCCACCGTAGGCTGCCTTGAAAATAACAGGAAGCCCATACTGCTCACAGAACTCGAGAGCATCCTTGGCCGACGCTACTGGGCCTGGCGTTCCTGGCACTACTTGGACGCCTACAAGCAGAAATATCGGACCTCATGATTCTGGCATTCTGATTGGCAAGGCACAATCGTTAAACACCCCGTATAAGTTGGCTGGCAAGCTTAAACATCATTTATTTATTTATTTATTTATTTATTTATTTATTTATTTATTTATTTATTTATTTATTTATTTATTTATTTATTTATTTATTTATTTATTTATTTATTTATTTATTTATTTATTTATTTATTAAGAGTGCTTTGTTTTAATCTATACATGTTTCATACATGTTAATGACTTTAGTGTCTCATAGGTCATACTGGCCGGCCATTGTACACATCTACCCGAACTACGTAGCAATTCTATGCTGAACAATGTGCGACACTCTAATAAAAGTTCTTCTTCTTCTTCCACTGTGAAAGCCACCCCGCCACTTGTTTCCCAGACTACCCATAATCCATCTGTCATGTTATTAGCCAATAGGAATCCACGAGGATAGCTCACCTGCTTCCATGGCTGCTTGTCTGGCCTCGACCTTGTCTCCCATTTTCCTCACCACTTCCGATGAGGGTCCGACAAACTTGATCCCGACATCGTTACATGCCTTGGCGAAGTCGGCTCTCTCCGACAGAAACCCATATCCTGGGTGTATTGCATCTACATCATTTTCCTGTTTAACAGAAACATAACACTTAAAATCTGCTCTATATACTGAAAGCTTACATATTAGCTATGTATTCAGTAACAGAGCACTAAAGTACTGTCGGAAATGCTAGAAAAGTGCTTTCCAGGCTTTATTTAATAAATACCAATCATAGGGCTGTGAAAACAGCATATATCAACATAACGCAAATCTACCTAATCTAGCCTATCCTAATTGACACTGAAAATGGCCTGTACCTTAAGGTAACTGCTATTGAACTAACCTGGGTGATGCTGTAGAACTCACCTAAATGATGGTGATGAACAAACCTGGGTGATGGAGTTGAACTAACCTGGGTGACGATGTTGAACTTACCTGGGTGACGATGTTGAACTAACCTGGGTGACGATGTCGAACTAACCTGAGCGACAGTGATGAACTAACCTGAGCGACGGTGATGAACTAACCTGAGCGACGGTGATGAACTAACCTGAGCGACGGTGATGAACTAACCTGAGCAACGGTGATGAACTAACCTGAGCGACGGTGATGAACTAACCTGAGTGATGGTGATGAACTAACCTGAGCGACGGTGATGAACTAACCTGAGCGATGGTGATGAACTAACCTGAGCGACGGTGATGATTTCTGGGATGTTGAGGTAAGCTGCTACAGGAGGGAGGCCCTTGCCGATGAAGTAGGACTCGTCTGCCTTCTGACGATGCATGTGCATCTTGTCCTGTTCGGAGTAGATTGCCACCGTACGGATGTTCATTTCTGTACATGCTCGGAACACTCGGATAGCAATCTCACCTTTAATAAAACAGCAAAATATCATGTATACATCATGTCAAAGCTGTACATAACATAGGCTGCTGTCATGAACATTATGATTATCATGATTATAGCTACCACTGGTACTAACCCTGTTCCTATGACAACAGCTCCTTTCTTTGGCTGTTAACACAGTCTTCACTCCCATCAATAGGGCAACAATTTAGTCAATATCCATAGCTAATGTTATGATTAGAAACAAACCAAATCAAGATTTTGTAAGAATGACTAACAAGCATGAGATACTCATATCCCCCACCAATATTACACGTCCAGTTCTGCCATTTTTAGTCTAAGTCAAAGTCGTTGCTATGGAAACTCGAAAAATAAAAAAATTTAAAATCCCAAACTATCAAAAGGCACCAGTTCACCACTAGACCTATCTGTGTGCCAAGTTTGGTTAAGATATCTCTCATGTTTTTTTAGTTCTGCTCCAGAAACAAAACTTGACACACGGACAGACAGAAAGACGGATGGACAGCACCCATTCCTATATCCCCCTTCCACTTTGTGGGTGGGGGTAAATATTGAGCATTTGAGCTGGGTTTCACAAACATTCAACACTATTGAAGAGTATTTCAGTTATATCACAGCATGGTAGCATGGGCGGAGAGCTCAAAGTGATGCTGGTCTTAGATGGGTACAACTTGGTGAAACCAACAAGCATTTAGGTGATGCTGACAAACCAAGACTCCTAATCAATCTGGGATTCAAACCCACTTTCAGTGGATCCTCGCATGGCTGACCTTACAACTTCAATGAACTTACAGGGGCACGGGTGTCCCAGTCGTCTAAGGCACTGCGATTGGCTGTGCAGAGTTGCCTCCCTTGGGCAAGCCAGAAACCTATGATTGTAGGTATGTATTCCAGTTACATCACGACGTGTCAGCTTAATGTGGGAGGAAAGCCCAAAGTTATGCAGGTCTCAGATGTTTACCACTTTGGTGAAACCCACCAGCACGGGTATGGTGCTGACAAACCTAGAAACATAATCGGGGCGAACCGGGATTCGAACCCACAATCATAGGTTTCTGGCGTGCCCAAGGGAGGCAACTCTGCACAGCGAATCGCGGCTCCTTAGACGACTGGGCCACCCGTGCCCCCGGGTCTCCATGACAAGCCAACGCTTTAACCACTAGGCTACCCAACAGCCCCTGCAATGTGATAGACCACTGTGGTCTGGGACTACTTGTTGTGTAAGGGTCAAGACTCACCTCTGTTAGCCACCATAAGTTTCTTGATGGGCTGGACTGTGCCCGATTCGCCTGCTGTGTAGTATCGGAGGGCCTGGGGCTGTGTGGCCTTGAGAGGACTTGACTGAGTCACGCGGGTCAGCTGACCAGCCGCCTGGCAGATCTGACTGGCTCGGGCCTTGAGCCGCAGCATTGTGAGTTAGTGTGGAAACTGTACCTGCAGACAACATCACACGTCATGTCACATGTGTAGTATGGGTGAAACGATACAGCAAGATCGCGATATGATATGTATCCTGATACGCATATTTACTGGGGGTGTCTTTCAAATATTGCCAAAAGTGTAGTAATTTGCTACTAAGTATACTACTAAAATGGCTGCTACGAACATGTCTACAGCTAGCTTTTCCTTTTGAACCTTCTTTGAAACATTTATTGTCAAGAAGTTTCCATGCAATTGGAGGAAAACATGCGTATCAATATATGTATCATATCATCTCCCATGCATCGTGATATGTATCATATCATGACCTTGCTGTATCGTTTCAATATTTACATCAAAACTGCGTGGAAACTAGTTGACGAGAAATATTTCAAGCCGGTTCAAAAGGTTAAGCTAGCTGTAGACACATGTTCATAGCAGCTATTTTCAGTAGTGAACTTGAAACCCTAATTACAACACATTTCGTGATATTTGACTGACAAAAATACTGGCTGTCATTAAAAGTCAATTTATAATTCATTATTGCCATGATTGATAAAATAAGGCATACCTAACCATGCTAAGACGCAATTTTGCATTTAATCTTTGGTATTAAAATATAATGAGATATATATCCATGATAATCAGGTGTTCCCTATCTGGGACACTTCTTACCTCCCCTGGCTGAGTGTTCTAAAAAGAGTGAGTGAGTTTGGTTTAACGCCGCTTTTAACAGTGTTCCAGTTATATCACGGCGTGTCAGCTTAATGTGGGAGGAAAGCCCGAAGTGATGCAGGTCTTAGACGTTTACCACTTCGGTAAAACCCACGAGCATGGGTATGGTGCTGACAAACCTAGAAACATAATCGGGGCGAACCGGGATTCGAACCCACAATCAGAGGTTTCTGGCGTGCCCAAGGGACACAATTCTGCACAGCGAATTGCGGCGCCTAAGACGACTGGGCCACCCGTGGCCCCGTTCTAAAAAGAAGCGGTTCTATTACATGCGGTCCTTGAGGTTTGCTCCGGTAGTATTTGAATATTTAGGCACCCTACATATTTAATGTCCTGTTTCATAAATTCACATCACCTCCAGCTCAAGAACTTGATAACACATACTGAGGTTTGTAAGTGGAGCTAGCTTTCTGAGCTTAGCAGCCAGAGCTGAGATTCCCTTGTGTAAAATTTGCAAAAATCAATGCTGAGAATAATGTTTTCAATGTTGACAGAAATAGACGATTGAGAGTGACGTAAATCTCACGAACATCGTGACACACATTAATGCCCTGATATTGATCGTAAGTTTACGGTGTCATTTACAATGTTAATGTCTGGCCGACCCTTCGAGGTGCACTATTGACCGATCCATTTACTCATTAAAGTGGAATAATTGTAATGGCAATGTAAAGCAAAGACGGAAATGTTCATTTCCACAAAGTTCAAACAATACTTAATGGTGCAGGTGCCCCGGTCATGTGGAATGCATTGTTGAGAATTTGTTAAATGACTTGTGGGAGATATTTGATCAAGTTAACAGACCGGATACTATGGCTAGATATTGCATTTAATACTGTCATACACACTGATAGAGAAACAGATGGCTCAGCAGAATCTGTCACAAAAACAACTGGGGTACCGTTATACAGTGTATCGCAGAGCTACAGATAAGCAGCATATTTGCGTCAAATACCCCCCAAAAAATATTCAAAACCTAACTACTTTCAATTAACTTGGGTACAGAAATGCATGCATTAAATGAAAAATTAAATGTATAAAAACAGCTCACGTAAATACCCAATGAAACATTTCCGAAACACAATTACAAGCTAATTTACTTTCCGAGTAAAGCCTATATATTTGGAACAGTTATATACAACTAAAAGATAATTTCATTTTTTGTAAATCTTAAAATGTTCACTAACTTTTGGAAAAACCCAATAGAATGATGAATAGAGGAGTGAAGAAATATTGGTTACCCAATGAAAAATGTAATAACCCAATTAAAAAAGAAACCCTAGAGTAAAATCTCAATTGCTCAAAAAGTTATCTGGCGCTCTGTATCATATGTCCTTTCTATAATGATACACATCTACAACATGACGTCACCCATTCCACTACAGAATTTCCCTTGCTCATGCGCTTGAAATCATTCAAAATACCTCTGCTGAACGCAAAACCAGCGTAGAGCTTCACAAGCAAAATTGTGGCCTTGACCTAGCGAGCCCTCAATATATATAATCAAATCAAAGGAATGTAACATTTGAAATTTCAGCTGAAAAACTCCTGCTAGTAGGCTTTCCTTCTGCTTGTATTTGATGTGACATGTTCAACATGCTATGTAGTTGTAGTCGAGCTTATTCCAATCATGAAGGAACAGAGTATTTTGACCTACTTATAGCATTGCGTCAGTCAAACAGGACATAAACATACTTCATGGTGATGAATAAGTCTAGGATATACATGTAATTACCATAACATTGAGATGTGATAATCATGATAATATAGGATGATGGTTAACTGAAGAGGGAACGAAATATTTGGAACTTGTAATAGTCCCCAGTGAAGCATAAGCATCACTGTACAATGTAACATTCTCCATGACAACACACTCACACATCAAGGGGTGAGAATCTTCCGTGGATCCGTGAACTTCCGCGAATTTTAGTGCCTACAAACTTCTGATGGGTTCCCCCATAAACAATTAATGGACCATGCTCCATTGCAAATAAGTTTCAGCTGGAAAGGAAAATAGCCATTGTCGTCCCTGCATAAAACAGTATTTAGAAATTTTCATGACCTGACCCATGAAGATCTGGGGTAGAATAGGTCTTCAGCAACCCATGCTTGCCGTAAAAGGCGACTATGCTTGTTGTAAGAGGTGACTAATGGGATCGGGTGGTCAGGGTCGCTGACTTGGTTGATGCATGTCATCAATCCCAATTGCGTAGATCAATGCCCATGATATCAATCATTGGCTTGTCTGGTCCAGAGTTGATTATTTACAGACCGCCGTCAATGCAAGGACAATGTGAGAGACCACTTGAATGTTGTAACCCTGACCAAACAACTTCTGGACAAGAGTCGTACGACACTATTTGAAAGCTTCAAAGAATCAGTATGCTTCATTGTACCTCAGAAGTTGTGAAATATTGCTTGACAGAAAGCCAAAGTTGACATCACCCCCAATTATTGTCACTCTGAATCTTAAAAGTGAGTGAGTTGGGTTTAACAACGCTTTTAACAGTATTCCAGTTATATCACGGCGTGTCAGCTTAATGTGGGAGGAAAGCACGAAGAGATGCAGGTCTCAGACGTTTACCACTTCGGTGAAACCCACAAGCACGGGTATGGTGCTGACAAACCTAGAAACATAATCAGGGCGAACCGGGATTCGAACCCACAATCATAGGTTTCTGGCGTGCCCAAGAGACGAAACTCTGCACAGCGAATCGTAGCGCCTGAGACGACCAGGCCACCCGTGCCCTCTAAGTGATATAAGAGGTGGAATGTGATTGGACTATAGGAGGGACATAGACATAACTCGTAATAACCACTTGTGGCGCTACGATCGAGTCACAAAATTCAAGCCTATTTTGTCAAGGGTGGAAACGGGACTTTTATAGTCTGTTATGTCCCTTGCTTTGTGAAGATGTGTCTGTACATGCTGTTATCAACAGTCCATGAGGTCACTGACCTTGCCATGTGCTGTCAACAAAATCGCTGAGTCTAGCCATAACAAGATAAACTACTTCTGCCTATCTCACACTTTATGTGTAGTACACATCCACCACACAGCCTGGCTTTCCCACAACAGACCTCATGCAGCTGGTATGGATACAACAGCTCACTCTTCAAAGATTAGATAGACGTGGTTTGATGGTGATGTTAGTGACAATTTCATTTTTAAATTAAGAATATATTTCAGATGAATGACAAAAAAGTGTGGTTCAACTAAATAAATTCTTACCATATACACAGGCATGATTAATGGTTTTGATTTGTTGAGTCAGTCAGTCAGTCAGTCAGTCAGTCAGTCAGTCAGTGTGCTGACTGAACCATTAACCAGTACACTACCCAACCTGACTTAATCCATTAAAACAACAGCATGGAGGCAAAATATGTAGAAACTAGGGTTGGGACGAGTCCAAATTTACTACCCGGGTACCCACTCCCCTATTACCCGACCCTACCCGGGTACCCACTGTAGGTCTCAAGAGATGGGTACAAAATGTTCGATTTGAATTTTTTTTACCCGGGTCCTACTCAGTACCCACCCGACCCGGATATCCGAATTACCCGTCCCAGCCCCACTAGAAACATAGAGTGTTGGATATAACAAACAGACATAAAAAGAGGAATATTATTTACATTTGTCATAAATAAATCTAAATTAATTATCATGACTGAGATGCACTAACTATGCTAAAGGTGTTGCCTGCAACAGGTGCAAACGCGAGAAAAACACACACTGCAAATTAAATTTTACTTATTATTCTTAAATTACCGTTTTGTATAAAAATAGAGTTCAAATGATTCATCTACATCATTTAGGTATATAAAATACAGCTATCAAAACCATGTTACTATGGTTACAATGCATTTGGCAGTATGTGTCTCATGAATAATGTTGAAAATGAGACATACATGTGACCGGTCAGACTGACCAACAGCTGTCCTAAAGCAATCATCGCCAGCACAGACCGCCAGTCATTTCATTATTGACAAAACCTAAGAAATACACGTACCGTATTTAACGTAATAAGCACCCAGGGCGCTCTCAAAATTAGAAATAGGGGGCTCTTATTAGAAAATTATTTTGGTGGAAAAAAACTGAGTTGAAAGATCGTGTATTTCGTGGTTTTAATGCCAGCCTGAAATGTTTATATACGACAGATATATTTTTCCAGAATATAATTGCCCATAATTAAAGGTGCATATAACACACGAGTGCGTATTATACACGAATAAATTTAAGTCTTGTGTACATTGATCAATCAGTAGGGGTGCTAATTGGG